AAATGAGTCTTGCTTCCAAAAAGTATAGGATGATGCAGTTAAAAACGAAACCTGAGGTTTTCAGGGAGTTTAACTCCATGATGTACAATGCAGTCAGTGGCAGAGTAACAGAACTCACCTCACAAATGTTTATCATAAATTCAGGTCACGATGTATAGCAGCAGTGTACAGCTCAAATTAAAGAGAGCCATTTTCATTTTTCCCCAACGAAAGAGTTCCATATCACTATCTTAAGTGGGGAGAGATGGGGGAAATCTTCCATGCCAACTGCGTTCTCTTTTTTAAACATTTCCTAGTAACCCAATTTCTTAATAGTAATGCTAACTTAGAAGGGACACAGCATTCTAATGGATGAATTCCATAGCCAAAGAACTCCAAATTACATGTCAAGAAATCACCGATTCTATATTCAGAGTTAGTAATGTGCATGATTATCAGACATCCCTGTTTCCCGGGGACAGTCCCTGGATTTACAAATCTGTCCCCAGAATGTCCCTGGATTTCATTTCATGTCCCCGGATTTATATTTTAAGTGTAGATTTATTAGGGAATGAATGTTGCGTGATTGGTTCAATGGCACATCATATGGGGACTTCCGGCAAGGCAAAATGGCGGGCGCCACTGCCAAGGGGGAACCGGGGATGCCCGGCTCGGCAACTGGGGGAACCACTGACCCCACCCCTGCAACCCAAACTGAGCTGGGAACAAGAGTACCTGGCCACCCAGCCGACTGCCCAGTGGCGCTCCAGGGCCATGAAAACACCGGAGCCAATGCAGGGAGGAGAAGAGAAAGGAGAAAAAAGGAGAAAAAAGAGGGGAGCCATGACCTTGCTGCACCACTGCCGCCACCGCTGAGGAGAGGTAGGAGAGCACCAGGAGGGCAAGGACCCATGGCAGAGCCCAGGCCTGACCCGAGCCTACTCCACGGCGGCTAGTGCTCCAAGAGAGCAGGCCGGGGCCCAGAGGAAGGCCACGCGACAGAGGAGGTCACAGAAGAGAAGATGATAGTTCTTAACTTTTTTAAAAAAAATAACTTTTCTCTTTTCAAAAAAAAAAAAGAAGTGCCCCTGAATTCTTTGAAAAAAATCTGGTAACCTTATATTATCATATTTGGTGGGTAATGCCAAAACAGGAAGAGGGCACAGAAGATAGAAGCAGGAGTTACCACCCTAGGCTCCTTTGAGAGGAAGGGTGGGATAGAAATTTTATAAATAAAAAAGCAGGGATCTTAAGGACAGGAGGACAAGCATCCATGCTAGGCATAAAAGCCAAGACCTCCAAGTTCTCTGCTCAACTCCTCCTTACAAACACACACCTTTACTTCTAATTTGCTGAGGAATTGTGCCTTTAAAAAACAAAATTGAACACTGAGTTGTGTGAGAAGCCAATTCTTGCAACCTCTGCACCAAGGTACTATGACAGCTATCTTTTGTGGAATTTCCAAGTGACTTCCACAAGGCATATGGTGAAATGTTGATGTAAAGCTATAGCACAATCTTATTTAAATTTTTTAAAGCACACGAGGCAGCATGTTCTGCAGAAAAGTCTATAATTTTTTGCTCACTCCTTGCCAAGTTTTGCTCACAAACTAGCAAGTGTTATTTGAAAGCTGTATGCAGTTGTAGATGGATTATTGTATGGCTTAAGTACATTTCTCCCTGTGGGCATTACAAGCTGATAGTTTCAAGATTTTATCAATCTAACTAGCACACAAGGAATTTTCCTGTCCCCCAGCATACAGAATGTGAAAAAGGCTATGCATCTTATGTTGTAGAGACATTCAAAAACAGCCACACAATTGTGGAAAAGTTGTTTTATTTCATAATTTCCACACAGTCACAGACCATGCACTAGACCTTGTTCTTCCAACTCCCTTACACAGCATTAGGGTTTGAGAGAGGCTGAAGAATCTAATTCCTTTCTCTTCAATATCTTGGACACACAGACACTAGAAGAAGTCTACAATTTACATAATTAAGTTGTCGCATTAAGAATTTTAACAGGTTTGGAAGATCAGTAGTGGAGTTTGACAACAATGAAAGACTTCAAGTTGAGATAGATGGTCCCCACCCTGCAGTTTAGAGGCAAATCACATTAGCTGGTGTGACCTAAACATCAAGATAGTATGTCGATGCTTTCCCAGGGTTCAAGAATGCAGCAACAGACTTCAACTTCTGGGCCTATGACAATCATTCATTTTATACCAAGGCCTCCCCATTCCCCATGATATGGGGGAGCAGCTAGACACTACTGGCATCTACAATTTGTTCTGACATTTCACATAAGGAGTCCACAAGTGCTTAAGACCAAACCCTCCTATATATACCAATACACATGCATTTTTACTGAATACTGGTGGCGGTGTAAACGTTCTTCAGAATGAATCATCTAGTCACATAGCAGAATTGGTGCAATATTGTTATAGCTGTCCCGCATAGCCTGTCCTGCATCCCCTGCCACAGAAATAAGGAATAGCCCAGACATGCTTCTCCCAACCATCACCACTTTAAACTTTGTGTTGACTGTCAAAAGCATGGTCTCTTATTTCCTACTCGTGGAATTATGTGCACCTACCATACTAAGAAATAGGCTCAAATCCCTCGTCCTCTTTTAGGTGCCTCAAAGAAAGAATTCATTACTTTGAGAAAGGAACAGCTAAAGCAATTAAAGTGAATACTACAAGTGTGTCTTGCTGGCCTAAGCCTACATTCAATACGCATTTAGCTTCATGGCAACATGTCTTGGTCAAGGCTTCTATTAATTATGTTCCTAGTCAGTAATAAAGCATTCATTTTCTTAACTGAGCATGTAATGATATGCATTTGAGAAGCAGAAAAGCAGGAGAAACTAGATCCCTCCTACTCTCCTTGCAGGATCTCCCTGCTACCATGCTGCAACTTTGAAACAAGCAACAGAATGGTGGCAAAGAGGAAACTGGATGAACACAGAAGAGGTCAATGTGGGGTTTCGTACAACTCTTAAAATATCTATTCATGTTCAAATAGCAAGGTCTCCATCCCCCTAAAATCCGCATGCATCCATGTCAGCATGTGTGGCAGGAAGACTCATACTGGAAGGACGGCTGAGAGATGAGTGAAAAACCTGGTGTTTTCTCAGGCTATGTATTACCAGACACCCACACACAACCTTTCAAGTCTTTGGCTGTAAATCTGGTGAGGCTTAAATAACCGCAACACTGTTTCTCTGCTGTGCAACAAATACCATCTAGCAGACAAAATTGAAAAGACAGACTGTTGGGGGGGGGTTACCCAGGTTAAGTTGGTATATAGATTAAAGACTCCACTCTGGAACCACACCAAAGGCTTAACTTATTAACATAAGCACCACCTTAAAAAAAAAAAAAAGAACAGGAAAGGGCACTTGTTCCTTATACTGTACCTACAAATTATCTCATTATTTATGGTGCCTTTTCAGCAGCAAAGGTGAGCGTTTCAGATGTGAAAACAGGGGAGCCATGCCTGCAAAATTACATACAACCATAGCAATGCTTGTCACGCAGACTCGACACACAAGAATCTCGCCACTTAGGGTACCCCCTGTTACTTTTCTTTCTTTTTTGGTGATGGCAGCAGTAACAGTTCCAAACATTCCTGAGAGATAAGACATTCACAGTCAATGCCCATTTCATGTCTGCAGAGCGGGAGACATAGCTAGAGTGAGCGGCCACTCCCTGAGCTGTGCCACTATCTCGAGGAGCAGCCAGAGATGCAGAGCAGCGTTGCGTAAATTAAAGCTGATGACTCCTTAAAAGCAGTAGGGGCAAGGTGATTAAGCATGAAATGTGCCACCCTCTTTAAAAGTGTATTAAAAGCACAATTTTACTTTTTATTCAAGCTTTCTTTTGCCTTCCTGTAGAACCTTCATCTCTTGTTTCTAGTGACTAGTCATTTTATGGACCTAAAGTTTGGCAGGTACAAGGTAGTGACCATTAATTCTAGCAATTGGGTGATGAAGGTCTGAACCTCAACTACTCCTCATAGCACACTCCAGCCGCAGTGCTTTCAGCAAGAATTTGAATGTTCAAAACGGAAATATTTGAAAATATGGTGCCTTACTTCCAGAGCTACTTGTTCTATGTCACAATAAAAGCTAAAGAATGTGTTTTCCCTAGCAGTTTGCATTTTCTTGGGCAGATGCCACTTGTAGTGGGAAGTGTTCTTGATAGCCACATACAGGAAACTGCTCTCCCTACATTCTTCTAGACACATTAAGGGTCTAGCGCCAGTTTTGCAAACATGCATGCAATAAAAGAACCAAATTTGTGTACATTGAAGGGCATCAGATTGGCTGGGGAGTTTATCCCCAGTTTCCCCAAAATGCGGATACATTGGTGAGAACCTATGCAAATGTGCAAACTCTCTCTGGACATCCCCCCCCCACGGCAAATATAAATACAATCAATGCACAGAGCTCACACAAATACATTCTCCACTATAAATATTTCTATTGAAACTTTTCATCCTGACTGCCATGCACTTTGGGGTGTGAGAGGAACAAAAACAAACTCCCACACACAAACCAACAATAGGGGACTGAATCCCTTGGGGGAAGAGGGCACAGAATCACCATATTTAGATGTTTCCAAAAATTGGCAGTAGGTTACTGGCCCAATCCCACACTTTCCTAGGTGGGAGTGAGAGTTTTCAGTGCAACAAGTCATAGCATATTACTGGGTGGCGGGTTGCACAGGGTTGGGGCAGGCAGTTGGGACCACAGCAAGGACTTTCTAATAGACCGAGCAGCCAATCCACATAACTTCTTGCCCCATGAGACAATGACTATGCGGGTAATGGAACTGGACTAATAGCACCAAGAAATCAAATGGACCTCCCCGGTCTCACGGTATGATGAAAACGGAAAGAAAAACAGGACGAACTTGTGAAAAGAATGGGGCAGGTTATGCATATCTCACTCAGGATGTGTCAGAGAGAACCTGTCGTGGGCAGGAAGCTCCAACACTGTTCTCACGTATAAGGCAGCTATTCTGTTTGCAGGAGGACCTCTGGTTCCGAAAGGGAACAGTACAGAGTGTAACCCAACTCATCCACCTCTTCAGGAGTAAGCTCTGAAAACAAGTTCACCTTGGGATTCAAAGCGCTGGGAAGAACCCCTGCTTCCAAATAGCCAATGAGCCCTTTCAAGGCCTGCAGAAAACGGTCAGCGAGCATGTCTTGTGACCAGTCAGTCTCCTCCAGGTGAAGTATGACGTTGGTAAGCTGGCTGGCAGAAAGGTGACTCAACGCCGGGTTCAGCTTGCATATGGCCTTGAGGATCTTGAGGCACAAGGAACGGCAGCCAGAATCAGCCTGGTCTAAGGCCCGCAGGCGAGCTGTCTCTGCCGGCCGAAGACTGAGCCGCCACAGATTATCATACTGGGCCAGTCGGTGTGGTTTGGCTACCAAGACAGTGTCACCTAGTGTCACAGATGGCAAGAAGTCTATGAAAAGGCGCCGATCTCTTTCATACTGGACCTCCAATGTCAGAGATTCCAAGGGTGCTGCTGGACGGATCACGTAGTCTAGGAGGGTCCCAATAGCTGGCCAGTTGATGGAGCCTGCCACAACTTTCTCAAAGGTGCCAGACACTGCCCTGGGTGAAAGGTAGCCCCCCACCACACAGCGGTCCCAGTAACTGCTACCACGAGGGAAGTATTCTGGGTTTTCCCGACGTACCAGGCAGAAGCCAGGGATGTTCATAATGGTGTCTTCACCTGGAATGCAAGACCACAGGTTCTGTTCCAACACCAGAGGAACCATGAGCTGGATGTGATCAGCAGTCACAACCTGCCAGGGGGGAGAAAAAGAAGAGGTTTTCTAAGGCCCTTAAAAGGCCACACTATTTGGCTAAGGGGAAGGCTGGAATGCAAAGGAACGTTGAGCTGGGATCTCTATGATGCTCGGTGCCGTGCTAGAACATGCTGATGTATCAGAGGCAGCATTAGAAATAGTTCCTCATAAATTAAACAGTAAGAAGGAAATAAAAGCAGAGTTTATGCTTCAAAGAAACTACCACCTTACTGAGATGCCATTCACATGCTCAGTGATGATTTGCAGATAGGCATTCCTTAGATACAGACCAGAGAGACAGACGGGGGAGTTGCCTGAGTTTTAGTGAATAGGAGTAAGTCTGCATGTAGGTGAAGCTTACCTGATGTTTTTAATTCTGTAGAGGTTGTGCAATTTTTTTCTTGAGATGTTTTGAGTATTTAGTCATATATAGATTTAAATGTGTTGCAACCTATCCTAAGCCCCTCAAGTGGAGTGCATTTACATTAACTAAAGCCCGAGAAGAATGCTAAGAATGTAAGAAACAAAGAAATGAAATTGCTTCCTCAAAATAAAACGTAACTGTTCACATTTATGGTGAATGCAATAAAAGAGCCAAGGGCATGTAATAGAAAACAGGGAGCCATTCACTGAATCAGACCATTGTTCTATCTAGCTCACAAATGTTTATTCATCAACTGGCAACAAATATCCAGGGTTTTTCACACAGGAGTCTTTCTCAGACCTACCTGGAGTGGCAGGGGCTGAACCTGGGACATTGCTGCTTCTATGCTTTTATTGTCAAAAGCCAAAAGACAACTATTTAAAGACTGAGTTTGATGAAACATGATACGTTTCTCCAAGGAAATCACCATCACCATTAGGTGTAAATTTAAGTTTTATCTAATACAAAATCCTACACATAGAAGTCTTGATGTAGCGTTGAATCAAGTACGTCCATTCAGAATTGCTCACTTAAAGGCTATATGTTCATCAGGGTAGCATGAAGGAATGGCTCCCATGCCCATTATGTATTGAAAAGAACAGAAGAGACTAAATAATGTAGAAGGACCATGCACAGTCAGGAACAGATGTGGGCGAGAAAAGATAGAGAAAGATTTGAATCTTGCTCAGTCGGAAAGAGAGGACATTAAAATTGCAAAAAGGAAGGAAAGTACTTTACAGTGGTACCTCGGGTTACATACGCTTCGGGTTACATACGCTTCAGGTTACAGACTCCGCTAACCCAGAAATATTACCTCGGGTTAAGAACTTTGCTTCAGGATGAGAACAGAAATCGCGCAGCGGCGGCAGCAGCAGGAGGCTCCATTAGCTAAAGTGGTCTTCAGGTTAAGAACAGTTTCAGGTTAAGAACGGACCTCCGGAACGAATTAAGTACGTAACCAGAGGTACCACTGTACAGTATTGGGGAGAACAAATTATTTCCTATGCAAGATCAAATCACCAAAAAGCCAAGAAACATGACCACAGACAATTCTAGGCACAAGAACATGATGCTGAGAGAAACACTGGCAACAATAAAGTTTGCATGTTCTCTTTCTCTATCACACCTATTGAAGAATATGTAAACCTTCCCACCCATCCAAATTACCTGCAAATCATCATAGAGGCTACCACTCAGGTACATTTCACGCAGAGGCATGTCTGGCAGCTTGGCACGGAGGAAACCACGTAGTTCTGCACATATATCTACAGCAGCCTGCTTGGCTTTCGCCTGCTCTTCTGTAGGGATGGCCACCTTCCTCCGGTAATACGCAAACAGCTTCTCTTGCAAGGACATTCGGAGGCGGGACTTCTTCAGCTCCACCTGACTCTTCTTGATGGATGATTTCTGCTTTGTGGGTTTGATCAAATCTGCCAGGATAGGTTGGAGAGAGAACAGCAGGCCTCAATATTGCACCACACAGGATTCATTAGGTACAAATTGCCTGTACTGAATTGCACCTCTATTGAATTTGGAAACACTGGGGATTAAACTATGTGAGACAAAAAATCATTGACCATACTTTTAACCTTTCTTTAAAAGTAATGGCAATGTGCATCTTGATACAGACAGCAACAACACCCTTTAATTCATGTCATTTTCCTGACAAAAACAGTACAACCTCCTAGCTTTAATCTTCCTTATGAGGACAAACTGAAAAGTACCCATGTGCTCTTCCTGCACACTGTTAGTGTTATGATGTAGTGATATAATTTCTCTTATATATATGATAATTGTAATAATTTGGACAGCCTGTTTTCTGTAAACTGCTTTGAGCACAAATATCTTTGTTGAAAGTACAGTGTAAAATAAACTGACTGATTTGAAAAAGATGCTCTTGTTCCCTGGAGATTTTCACATAAGGCACTAGAACAGTACTTGTCAGGAATACATTGGGTCAGCAGTATTCTTCCTCAGAAGAATGTGCTGGACTTACTGATCTGTAGGCTCTCTTCCAAAAATAAGATCCTTTCTTAACTAACTGTTTTTAGACACCAGAACATGTAAAGGTGAAAGGTTTACCTGTTTGGCAACCAACTTATGTAAGAAGTTGCAGAAGAGTTACAGGATGTCCCTCACCTATATCAAAATCTGAAGAATCAGTGGGAAGAGTCTGCAGAGAGCGGCTAATATTAGTCTTCATATCTTGGTTCAATAACCGAGATGATGATCCAAGCCAACTTGGTTCCTCCCAGCTTCTCTTTCCTGACTGACTCATGCGAGTGGGGCTGGCTGGAGCACTGATTGCCCGGTCATACATCTGAAGCAAGAAAGCGGGGAGACAAGAAATTAAGTGTATGATCCAGTCAAAAGCCTTCATTTCCACAGCCTCCCTCTGTAGAACCCAAAGGTGAAACCGTCCTGGAAGGCCTGTAAACTTCATCTTGGTAGTCAAGCAAACATGGGACTAATCAATGTGAGCTGTAAAATGAGCTTATCTGCTTGCTTTGAAGCCTTGACTGCTGGCTTGGCTAGTTGGGAAAAGGGAAGCTTCTACCTGTCAGCTACCCACTTATCTGAGAGATGGATGTGAGTGGGGAACAGGCCCCTAAAACAGTGTGATTAATTGGATTATTTCTGCCAGTTTATATAGCTTGTTTTCTGTATAAGTAACACACAAGCTATTAGCCCCTCAGAGACGAAGCATGGTGGTGCTTATAGCTTCAGCGTCCATCCTGAGGTGTAATGGCAAGGAATTCTATGTTGCCTTGTATGTCTCTTATATATATATCCTTATAATAAAACATTAGAACTGATTACTCTGGTGTTTTGTGCATCTTTCTTTGGAATCCCTGCAACTGGGTCCTTCAGAGCACCAGTCAATCCTTCACTTTGGTCTGTATTTGGACCCACAGGACAGAAAACTCCCATTGCATCTTTATCATACCCCAAAGTTTAGACACCCTTTCACTCACAATGTTCACTCTTACCCGCTTAACAGCCAAGGTGGCAATCCCCAGCATGGCAGCACCTCCCACACCCAGGACAAGTCGAGCATTGGACAATACAAAATCAATGGCTGTGCCAATGCCATTGTCATCCTTCTTTCCTTTGCGCTCTCCAGCGCCTGCCATTGCTCCTTTATGGGAAGAGAAAAACCAAACACAACTGTTAACATATTTCATTTTGCCCATTTGTCATTCTCTGCTTCCTGATTAAAGCTAGAATCTCACTCTGTCCCACTGGTGGTTACAAAGAACCTAATTATCCATTCTACCAAACTCATCACGGGATAACATGCTTCACAACTTGTACACACAACTCTGACACAGCTTAGGCTGAGATTTCCCCGAGTCCTTTCAGTGAACTTCATGGCTGAATAAGGAATTGAATGCAGCTCAACAACCAAACCCAAGTCTCTGTCTTTTACTGCTAAATAAAACTAAGTTCCTAAGGCAAATGAGAATATATGAAAAACGGTATGCTCTTTAAAAATAAACTCAAGACAAAATTATCTCAAGTTTTCATAAACTGATTTCCAGATCATAAAAATAGTTGTAATAAGAGAAAGAAATAGATCTTTCCACTATGAAAAACCATCAAAAGCTAGATGGGAGTTTTCCCAACCCCTGCAGTTATGCATTTCACTTGTTCTTACCACCAAATGTATAGGTCACTCCTTGCAGTGTGATCTGCAAGCCTCCTGGAACTACTCTGGCTCCCATATATCCTAGTCATTTTACATTTAGTCATTCAAAGTAGTGCTTTAGGACAGATCTACAGTCATTTATAAAGATTCTGAAGAAGTAAGAGAGCACTTTCTGCCTGGAAAACAACCTACCTGGGGTTTACTGCATCTGTGAAGAATGGGGAATACTCCCAGGCAGGACACTTTTGGGATTCCTTTTTCAAGTTTGTACCACACAGCCAATATTGACCATCTAGCCCAGATGGTCAAAAGCGTTGATGAAAAGGAAAGTGGTGAGAAAACAGGTGGGGGCGGGAAGGGAAGTCTCTAAACCAACCCCCCGAGTTTGGAGTGCAAGAAAGCCTGGCCCTTCTCCAGCTGTCTCTCCTTATCTTTGAGCTGCTCAAGATGTTGATTCTTGCGGAATTCACGTCGGATTGTGTCGAAGTAGAAATCACGGTCAGTATAGCGCAGGCCACGTCCCTGACGCAGCAGAGCGCGATAGAGGTTCAGCACTGCTTCACGGGTCCACGCTGCCATGAAGGATGAGTGGAGGGCGGGCAAACTGAAGGCACACAGAATAAACAGAGACAATGAAACAATCCGGTATTTTTGCAAATTATAATATTTAGCCATGTTGTCAATTGTGTTTTATCCAAGAGGTAATAATATCAACAAATAAGAGAAATACATCTATTTAAAGCTCTATCCATTACAAGATCCATCAAAGTTATCCTTTATTTATTTTCTAAGCAAAAGACAGAGAAGACTCCACTAGACAGAGTAAAAGAAATGCCAAAAAAGGTTCCAAAAGGTGAGGAAAAGCCTTTGAAAAAAATACAACCTATATTCACATCCCACAAAACTAGGTATGAAATCTCAAATGGAGATGCAATCAAGCACCCTGTGGCAGCGTTGCCTCTATCTAGGCCCCACAACTTAATCGGAAAGTTGGGTTATGGGGAAACATCATATATGTATTTTAAATTAAATTATTGTGAAGTCAGATTTATTAAAAATTATTGTGACGTCAATCTCCTGGCAGACTTAGAATGAATCTTGAAATATAGAGAAAGCATATAGCAAAATGTTCTTGATAATAAATGGGAAAGCAAAACAATAACGAAATGTGTATAAACTAACAAAATGTAAAATAGCACAATGAGAAGAATCGGAAGTTAGTGTTTATGGTGTGTGTATGTTGTAGTGTGTGTACTGTGTGTGGTATATACTGTATGTACTAAGTTAATTCTTATAAGTTATATGTAAATTGATGTTAATTGCTGTACAATAAAGGTTGTTTAAAAGAACAAGACAGTAAGCAGCATCGGAATCCGGTGGATTTCGGAGATGGCGGTGACGGCGACTGGCAGATTTCCCCTCTCCCTCCAGCCTACCACAATACGAATTATATAGATATAATTATTAATATATATATATTGAGTGCACGATGAGGAAAATGAAAGGCCCTCAGAGGAAACTGGAACTCAAGAGATCAAGGAACTCTTTCTCCCCTCCCCTCCGAGCCGGGGGTCCGAAGGAAGAGCCCCGCCAGTCCCACCGAGGTTGGGGCGGCCCTATGGCTCCGGGCGTCTCCCCCGGAGGGAAGCGGGGGGTTGGGGCTAAGGGCAGGCACTTGCTCTCGGTACCTTCGCGGAGGAGAGGAGACCGTCGCGTTTCAGGGGCTGCTCGGAGCCCACCTCTTCCCGCTCCCGGCACAGCTCCCGGGGTCACTCGGCAAGATGGCGGCTTCTCTTCCGGGGCACGACCTCCTTCGCCATGGAAACGCCAAGAAGAAAAAAATCCACAAAAGGCCCCGGCTTCCCGTTCGGCCCTGAGGCGGAGGGGCATCGAGGGAAGAGGATTTAAATGCAGCAGAACAGGGCTGAAAACAAAACCGACCGATCCCCTTCCTGCGCTCGGAAATAATAATACCCTGCACTCTAAAAATATTATATTTTGCTCATTGAAGGCGGCTGCGCCCCTGCTGGGCTATTTGCATATAGAGCCTCTGCGTCTTGGATGCTTTTATTAAAGGCTCTGTTTTTTTAAGGTGATGTGCGAAGCAAAGAGCTGAGCAACGGAGTTAAATTTAGGCATTAGACGTGTGTAAGTTCCATTGTTTATAAATAAGGAGTTCTCTATGGCAAGGCAGAGGTGTAGATTTATGCTTAGACCTATTGAAATCCACGCTTCAGGTAGTAGTAACTTGGAAGTCTCAATCCCCCCCCCCCGGTTGGCCAATTCTTAAAGGTAAAGGTAAAGGGACCCCTGACCATTAGGTCCAGTTGTGGCCGACTCTGGGGTTGCGGCGCTCATCTCGCTTTATTGGCCGAGGGAGCCAGCATACAGCTTCCGGGTCATGTGGCCAGCATGACTAAGCCGTTTCTGGTGAACAAGTGCAACACACAGAAATGCCGTTTACCTTCCCGCCGGAGCGGTACCTATTTATCTACTTGCACTTTGATGTGCTTTCGAACTGCTAGGTTGGCAGGAGCAGGGACCGAGCAACGGGAGCTCACCCCGTCGTGAGGATTCAAACCGCCGACCTTCTGATCATCCTAGGCTCTGTGGTTTAACCCACAGCGCCACCCATGTTCCCCTGGTCAATTCTTAGGCATGACTAAAAAGAGGCTGCAGTACTAGCCGTGTCCACCCAGCAGGAATAATTCCCAAGGAATTCAGTGGGATTTCCTCCAAGGAAAATGGGTTGCAGTCTTCCTCATTCGTAAGAATAGAGCTGTTGGAAATGGTCCTCCTGCCCAGAACTGGTGGCCTGTGTGGTAAGGTTACCAGATTTATTTATTTTTTCAATGAATCCGGGAACACTTTTCAACTTCAGTCATAATGGATGGATTTTGTCAGGGGACTGATTTCTAAATCCGGGGACTATCCCCGGGAAAGGGGGACGTCTGGTAACCTTAGTGTGTGGTATAGTGGTTAGTGTCAGACTAGGACCTGGGAGACCAGGGTTCAAATGCCCATTTGGCTATGTAGCTCAGTGGGTGACCTCGGGCCAGCCACTTCCTCTCAGTTTAAATTTACCTCACAGGATTATTGAGATGAGCGTCGCAACCCTATAGTCACCTTTGACTGGACTTAACCGTCCAGGGGTCCGTTACCTTTTACCTTACCTATTGTGGAGATTAGTAGAGGATGAGGAGAACCATGTACATTATGTTGCCTTGAGCTCCTTGGAGAACAAGCTGGGCTTTGAATGCAATAAATAAATAGCTCTGCTACCCTTTATAGTGGCATCCTTTGCTCCTGTTTCAGAAGACTATGGAGGATGCATTTACTCTTCCAAGCCTTCCCTTCCTAGATCTCCCCATCATGTCTTTGGCTATGTGCCTGATCGAGGATAAAAGCAACTGGCCTTTTGGTTTACATTGCTTTGTTGACTTGGGCAATGCAGTTGTAGCCTCTTGGCTGCTCCTGCTTGTCAGTGTTTTCAACCAATGAATGAAGTCAGAGCTATGATTTATAAGTGAGTTGGTTTGGATAGACATTTCTGAGGTCCTAAAGAGCTGCTGGTTTACCCTCCTGTTTACTGATTCTGCTTATTTCCTACTCCCTGGAATCTGTATTTTACTTCCTTTTCCCAGCAACCAGGATGCATCTTTCTTGGGCTGGGTTCACCTGACATTGCATAGTCCCTAGAAGTTTCTTTCTGCAAATCATAGTATACAATAAGTATGTTAAAGAATCCCTCTTCTTCCCAAAAGGCAAATGTGAAAACTTTGCAAATGGGCTTAGACACATCTCCTGTTTTGCAGGAACTAAAGACCAGACACTCATTAATAATTCACTGCATAGTTAACAATGGTATATACTGTATTTCTACCCAGAAGTATCTTTGTGTTTAATGGGGGTTACTCCCAGGTAAGTGGGCACAGGATGGCAACTGAGGCTTTGATTTAGGGTTGACATTTGGGAGGGAAGGGTTCTTGTGTATTTAACAGTTGTATGGCAGGGAGAAATTCAACAGGTTAAAACTTTTTCCTGTGTGGAAAATACAATTATGTGGAAAGCTTCACCATGACTATTCTCTCTAAATTTGTGTTATGTCATGCATGCCCCCATGATAGTATTACTGTATAATTGATAAAAAATGAACTGATGTTTTAAACCTTTTCTAGTTGTATGGCTTGGGAAAAATAAGTTTTCAGTCCTAGGCCTTACTTCTCAGTAGGCATGGTTAGAGTTGTGCTGTTCATTTTCTCCCCAGCTGCCCAAGAACAAATTGGTGGGCCTCTGCTGTGCGTATGTGCTATAAAACACACTGAAGTAATTACTTCCACTTTCATTTCCAAACAGTAGCTGTATTGATCCTTCAAACTAAAAACAAATCCTCTGTATATTCTTATCTGTGTGTAACCCCATCAAACTCAGTGTGGGTTACATCTAAGTAGAACTGCATTGGTTTGGGAATTCTAATATGAAGTAGTTAGGATGAAAATTGAAGCAGGTTTTTATTTTTATTTTTATTTTTATTTATTCACACACACACACACACACACACACACACACACACAGCGCTTTGTTGTGGTCCATAGACCCCCAAAAACATATTTATTATTGTCTATACTTACAGCCCACCCTTCACCAAATAGTCCCTGGGTGGGTTGTAAAATTGCCACAATTAAACAAGTACAATTGACATTTAAATAAATAAATAAAATCCACAAAACAGCCAATAACAAAGCAACAAAAGAATAGCAGGGCATCAACTATGACTTGACCCCACTGCCTGCAGTCTCTATCAAATTACTGCTCACCTTAAAAAAAGAAGTGTCCGCCCCTGCCTTAAAACATAACTAACAGGTAGAAATGCAATGGGAGAAGCTTTTCCCCCCAGAAGTGCATTTCTGCTATTGAATCGGTGCTTGCTGTGAGGCAATTAAATGTACACCAGCATTGCGGAGTGGGGGTGGGGTGGAATATGAAGCACTGCCTGGGGGAGGGGGAAGGTAATCCTTGTTTATTTATTTTGTGTGTTTGTTTTTGATAGAGGGTACAATTTCAAAGCAGCAGCAAAACAGAGACCCTAATCCAGCCTACTACTTTAATTCCGTTGTTACATTAATCCCTATGCATTTCTGTCAGTTTTGCCCCACATACAGAGGGTTCTGCCAACAGCAATCACAGTCTGCAAGTGGTGCTCAAGAAGCACTGTTGCTTTGTAAATGAACGTGATATTCTAGAGAAGGACTTGAGAGCATAGATATAGGAAAGAATAGCACGGAAGGCTCCCGTTATGCGCAAGAGCTGACTGTCCTCCTCCTCCCACCCCTCATGCTCAGCTCAGCTCAATGGTGCCGCCTTCTGGTTGTTTTCTTGAAAGCTCGTTGCTGACACACTATTCTTGAGAATAGCATTTCTGATTGGAAATTGTGGGAAGGTCAGCAGCACAATAAGTGCTACAAATAAACTTCCACTTCTGTGAGAAGAGCAAAGCATTGTGGACTTGGTTGCTGGACTTCGTGGACCTGTCCGAGTCCATGTGCCTGGATGGAAGAAGAGGTTGCTGAGACATTTATGGCTCAGGGTGATTAAAAAGAACAAAAAGGGGGGTGGTAGTAAATCCTCCTGCTCTTTTTCAGTGTATGTTTTCCTATGAAACAGGAATTACAACCTGCACTGGTGTCAGCATTGCTTCAAATTTGGAAGGTGGTGATATGGTTCACTTTCTGCCCATAGCTTTATGCACATGAAAACAGTTCTGTATAATGAACTTTAAACTTGGATATTCTCACCAGGGTTAAACTGCAGAGTCCATGGGATTTATGGATCACACTCTTTTAAGAAGAATGTGTATCCTACCCTGCTCCTGATTTTTTTTTGTTAACAGAGAAGGGCCCACACCATCACTTTCCAGGGTGTTTCTGTCTAAACTAGAGAGCTGGATTACTTCCTTTCTAGAGAGCAGGCCTATGAAAAATCTGGTATAGTCTTGCACAACTATTTTGAGTATAATATCTTTGTGGGGGAAACAGGGGAATGCGTAGTTGTACATAAGGAGTACGTGGACACTGCAGAAGGCATCCTTCCAACAGAAATATCCAGTATTCATGAGAACGTACATATTCCTCATAATTGGATGCTTGGAAGTAATTTTCACTGAGGTCCTTAATTCCAATTAATGCATATAAGACTGAGGAACCACACAATCATTATGATTTCCAGGGCTTTTTTTCACCCAGAACTCTGTTCCGACACCTCTCAGGTGGGCATCATTGCCATTCTAAGAGAACAAGGGAGGCGTTCATGGTGAGTTCCAGCATCTCTTTTTCTAGAAAAATGGCACCGACTATGCAAAAGCATTTTTCAGGGGCTTAGTGAAGGTTAGTGGCCTTCAAGTGTTCTACGTCCAGGGAATCCTTTCCTTGTGGATTCACTTGCATGAAACCTGTTACACATCAGGATTCTATACTGTGTTCTAGGATGTATTCTCAGGGTTGCCTAAGGAGGCAAATGCAAAGACAAGAGTGTGTTGAATACTTGCTTCCAACTGCACATTGCTGAAAACTGGTAGCCATGAGCAACCTGTTTTTGTTTTTTATCTGAAAACCTGAGCTCTGTGCAACATGATTTGTAAAGGAATTCTGTGCAGGTTGTTTCTGTCGAAATGAGAGACAAAGTAATGACTTCCTCAGTGTACTGTCAAAAGCTAAGAAGAGGGCATCTACACTAGACTGGCAAGTTCTCCCACTGTAGTGCCAAGCAAAGTAGGAACAATGTGGCATGTGGAAACCTGTGCTGATCTTGCTGCTTGGGTAGTAAAGACTATTATGCTTATCATTTCTACAGCACTTTAGAGTGTTCATAGTGGTTCACAAGCATTGGTATCAGTAATTCATTAGTTTATTAACCGCACCTTAACGACTATGGAGTCAAAAGATGGTTAAAGGTAAAGGTAGAGGGACCCCTGACCATTAGGCCCAGTCGTGACCGACTCTGGGTTGCGGCTCTCATCTCGCTTTATTGGCCAAGGGAGCCAGCGTACAGCTTCCAGGTCATGTGGCCAGCATGACTAAACTGCTTCTGGCGAACCAGAGTAGCACACGGAAACGCCGTTTACCTTCCTGCTGGAGTGGTACCTATTTATCTACTTGCACTGTGACGTGCTTTCGAACTGCTAGGTTGGCAGGAGCAGGGACCGAGCAGCGGGAGCGCACCCTGTCACGGGGATTCGAACTGCCGACCTTCTGATCGGCAAGTCCTAGGCTCTGTGGTTTAACCCACAGCGCCACCTGTGTCCCCACAAAGTGGTCATCGTGGTCCCAAGCATTAAATGTTGATTCCTGAGACTGGAGAACTGTGAGATGGTGTTTCCAAACTGGAATTTATTGTGGAATTGATTCTGCTCTTATCCACACATGTTTTTCACAGCATCTCCATTGTGATGTCATCAAAATGCCAATACTCCCCTTTTTTTGGCATTTAATCTGGATTTCCCCTTACTCCAGCTAATAAAAACAACCCATTATACATTTGCAGTCACTGTTCGTGTGGAAGCTCATTAGTATTGTTTGGAGTGAATGGGTTTGTCATATTTTGGTGATGTTTCAGGGGCTACTCTCTGTCATCACACCCACACTTCCCTTTACTCCTTATCTGGGCACAGCCTAGCCATTTTGTTTCCTGCAGCCTGATACCAGATGAAAAGCACCCATTTTTACAGATTAATGCTTACTAAAAGCACATCAGTTCAGAGGAGCCATTCTCTCATTTACACAGTAAGCGTGACACATTGTCTCATAGACTGTAATCTACATATATAGTGGGCTTTTTAAAAAGAATACTAATAAGGAGGTTTTGCACAAGACCTATTGTGCAAGCCTTATATGAATCAACTAAATATAATGCTTGTGCAATACCTGGTTATTATTTAAATGTTAAAATTGAATGGCAATGGGTACTGTACCCCAAAAGTCTCCATTTTGCCCATTGTGAATCAATATAACAGGCTGGAAATGTTTGTTCTTATATGGGAACTTTGTTCTTCCTGGGAACTTTTTCTTTCGTATAAAAAAAAGTGTGTATGCACAAATACAAAAATAGTATATCCTCACAACAAAACAAAACAAAAGTAGTGAAAGGTGGGGAGGAGTGATTTGAGTGGGACAAAACAGCAACTCAAATTATTCTCTTACAGACACCTGTTTTGTGATCATGTTGAAAACAAGAAGCCCAGTTTAAAATATTATTAAAGCAAGTTTTAGGCAATTGCCATAGTTTTGGAAGTTAAGCATGTCACAAACATGACACAGCAGCCAAATTATGGCCCAGGGTAATTTTACCAGACATACATAAACAGAGCATTTGGTTATCTCAATACCAAATCATATATTCAGCAACAATATCACTTTTCCTTCTCCCAGGTTCCTGTGAGTCCTAGATATTTTTTAGAGTTTGGTATGGTATTTTTGTACCATTCCTTTAATTGGGACCGAGTTGTCTGCTCTACTGGTGTGGCTGTGGTGAGAGTACTAAAGCCTGGGTGTGATGCTATGCAGGGACCGGTTCACATCTGGATTTACAGGCCAGTAGTGTGAGTTAGTGCCAATGGAGGGTTTTGACTGAAGCAGCTCCTCTACCACATTGCAGCTTAAGGGAGTGCTTGCTACTTTGGTTGGGATGGAACCAGAAGTTGAATGTTCTCTTCTGGTATGTTGATTAGGAGGCAAAAATGCACTAACTGTTTTTGAGCTTGTGCTGAATGGGATTTCAATGTGCTCGTAACATTTGTTGGCAGCCCTGGCAGCTTAAGGTTTCCGCTGGAGATTTGTTATGCGTTGTATGTAGCTTGTCTGGGTTTTTTTTTATAAAAAAAATTGCTTAAAAACAACTATCTTACAAATGGTAAGGTGTCATGTTTACGAGCTGCCATTGATCTGCCTCCATTAAAAACAGTTTGCAAAGAATGAAAATATTTTTTTCCATTTGTGTTTGCATTGCACTGGTTTAGAGCTGAGAATCTTGCTTGCTTGAATATGGTGGGAAGATGCACAGCAATTGTTAAGGCAGACTTGGTTCCTTAGTGTTCCTCAGATGCACTGCTAAGAAGTGGCTCGGGGGGGGGGCAGATCTTCTGCACCAAGCCCCTGTTTCCTTCCCCTTTCACCTTCTTTTAAAAAACTTATTTTTCTTTGCTTACAAAGTGGCTGAGCACATGGCAAAGCACAGTGTTGATGAGACCCCCAACCACCCATCAACTTGATTTTCCCAGAAGCATCTATACATATAAATTTGTGTATGCAATTATTTTATTAGCAAATTTGTGTCATGGGTCTTCTTACGCTCTTAAATAGGAGTGGCCAAGTTTATTAGCTTTTGAGCCACATAATTGAAGTATTTGCAGAATGAACAGAAGCACTGCCTTCTTTGCCTTCCATTCCATCCCTCAACAAGTCCTGCAGCTACCATTCTTCCCTCTAGTCTGGCCCAACAATCTTTGCCCTGAGCTCCAGAATCTCCCTCCACCAATGAGACAACAGATCACAGTCCCTTTCCTTCTTTGCTAACCATGTCTCTTCTCAATGTGCAGTGTACCTGGGAGAGGAGATGAGGAAGATTGAAGAGCTCGGCCTTATGGCACTAATGTATATGCACACTTAAATACATCATACACAGCCGATTCCTAAGCATGCTTACTCTCTGAGGTCCTATGGGACTTTCTTCCTACTAAGTATGTGCATAGAAATGCACTGCAGCAGTGATTGCATTTCTATTTGTTGTCTGAAACCATCTGGGATCTGTGCTTGGAACTGCTTAAGAACAACCTGTCACTGCTGAGCTGTGGCTTGCTTCTCAGAGTGAAGTGCCTGGATGAAAGCACCATGATTAGGTAAAATAAACCGTTAGGACTATTGTTGAAAACATTTTATTATCTGGAACTGAAGCCGTAGCCATTAGCAGAAGAGCAGGGGAGGTGGGAGGAAGTGACTGAAAATAATTTCTTTACTCAGAATTTTACTAAGCAGAGTGTATGGAAATCCCATAAACTTGGAGGGCTTTGCTTTATTGACACAATCTTTCCAGCTCTTTAGATTGCAGTATAAAGTTATATTTAGTTCTTCAGATCATAATGTTCCCAACAGTGTACAACCCAAATTCAGCAAAGCATTTGGGCATGTGCGTAACTTCAGGCCCTTAAGTAATCCCATTGCTGGACTGCAAAATACTTAAGCATGCCAGTGCGTGGGCTTCTTCTCATTTTGCACTTTATTGACTGGCTCAGAGGTAAGCCCTAATACAGCTTTATGTATGCCACAGAGATTCTCTTTAGGCTGAGAGAGCTGTGGCATATACATTTTTAAGCAATGGACTTAGCTATTTTTAGAGGGTTTGTTTCCATTTTCTAAATGCATCCGATCAATAGATGTTTTGTACAACTCCAGAAATACAACATATGCCTATTTATTTCATTTTTATTTGAAGAATGTGTGCAGTGCTATCTAGCAAGAAGGAGAGCCCCTAATGAGCAACTATATATAAGACAGTTTCCGTCTGATTCTTTGGAATCCAGAAGGAACAAACAAGCTTCCTCCCACTGGCTCTAAGATTTCTTTTTGTACATGGTGTTGGAAACTTGTGCATGCAGTAATGGCACTAACAGATGGGAGGTTTAATGCATGAAACCAGACCTTTTGAATAAACATTTGCTGAAATTGTTCCTTTGTGATAAACAGGTCCAAGGTGGAAGGAGCACTGGTCTGGCACCAGATGTCTTAACAGAGCAGTATGAGCACTTTCAGACAGTTGCTGGTGAGGCTCAGGTGTGTCAAATCACCCACAGCCCACAAAAGGACAGTGCCCATCCCTGCAGTAGGTTCAGTAGAATCAGTAGTTTCAGAGTAGGTAGCACAACAATCACCACTCCAAAACAGCCATAGTAGCTATAAACACACAGGTTATTTGTTACCTTTGAACAACAAACCAACACCACCAGAACTGGCTTATGAATATAAAGAACATTTTTACTGGAATAAGTATATACCTTCATAAACCAACTAGACAATGAGCAAACTAAAGTGCAATGTGCATAATCAAGCCTGGAGATACTCATAAACATAGAATGTACCAGTGTCTCTCTTGTTGCTATACTGGTTATGTATGCGATAAATATGTCATAACACAGCTGTGCTTGTGGGATTTTATATGTTGGCAGTACTACCCATGCAATCAGGACTAGAATTTCTGAGCATAGCATAGCATAGCGCGGGTGGCACTGTGGGTTAAACCACAGAGCCTAGGACTTGCCGATCAGAAGGTTGGCGGTTCGAATCCCCGGGATGGGGTGAGCTCCCGTTGCTCGGTCCCTGCTCCTGCCAACCTATGGTGACTTCAGCAGTAAGCCAGTTCAGTCTTACTTGCTTTATCAGCTCCTAGAGTGTTATCATAAGTCGGGTAGTAATAACCACTTCGGCTGTCATACAGCATGAAATTGAAACCTATGATTTTTTAAAACACTTTTCCTAAATGGCCAAGCAATATTGAAATCATTTCTGTGGAGTGTAAAATATCGAGTTTTTTTTATTTCATAAAGGAATAATTGCACAGTGCAAAAGTTTAAAAATGCAGTTAAGATCCCAACTTGCAAAGTTTGCCACAGAAGCAGGGCTGCTGTTAACAGGCTGAATATTTACAGGTTTAATAATGGCACCAAATCCCTTTCTCTGAAGTTGTTACCTACAAACCTGGAGCTGAGACAGTGAGCCATATAATCAAAAGCTTTGCAAAAAAGAGGAAGCAAAGAGAAAATGTGAACCTTCAGTTCTCTGGGGATAAGATCTATTGTCTGGACCAAAAGTTTCACACTGTTCCTCTTTTGTCACTGCCCTTTTCCTCCATCAGTGGAGTCACTTTAAGCTGCATTTAGGAACATAGGAATCTGACTTATACCAAGAGAGTCAATTGGTCCATTTAGCTGATTATTGACTACACAGACTGGCAGTGGCTCTTGTCAGGCAACAGTCTCGCCCAGCCCCTACCTAGGCTTTGTACCCATAGCAGGTATCTATGATTGAATCATCTGTACACACCAACATTTCCTCATCTAGTTGTAATAGATTGAAATCCTAACCTCACTGAATTCAATAGGGCTTACTTTTGAGCAGACGGGGTTCAGATGGCACTGCTACTTGCTACACATAGCAAAAGATAAGCTAACAACATTTGCAATCCTACATGAAGGGAAATTGAACCCATGTTATCATTTCCAGAAGTGAGTAAATTACTCCATGCAGGACACTGGGCAATTCATACTATGAAGTAGTGTCGGGCAGCAGAAAACATGGCATAGAATTGTTCTTATAAGAGGGAGTTCATGCAAGATCACCTATTGTCTGTTAACTGAAGTTTGATCTATGTAGGCGCTTCCTAATCCTTCTCTCTCATTAATAACCAATGTAAACAGTTTTGTGTGCTTTAGTTGAGATTTGATTTAGAGAGGTACATGGTGCGGAGGAAGACGTTGGTTCACTCAGTTAATTTTAATTGTATATAAGTAGTTGCAGAACTGATCCAGGGATTGAAGGGAGAAAAAGGAAGGAAAGTATGTTGGCGATGAATGGGTCCTAACAAATAAGCAGGCATTTACCATAGGTGGATTATTTGCAGAAGGAGGGGAAAATGTTGCTGCATAGTATGAACTTGTCCTATTTTCAGACGGCTGTTAAGTAAGCCTCCAATGACTAACTGAACTTTTAACTAAAGACTGCAATAATTCACTTATTCATTCATCTGCTGTGTATATATTGTCATTTATTACCACATATTTTGTATTATGTCTCATTTGCTCCATCTCCTATCAGAGACAGTTGAGATGGATGAATGGCACCAAATCTCTCATTCCTGTTTGTCTGACAATTCTGCGTGGAATATTCAGGGGAGGGGTATACATGTATATATCCAGTTGGGAAGCATGTGGTTGCAAGTGGCTACATACTCTGCTATATCCTCTTATGAAGAAAACACAAAATATCTTTAACTGTGCATAGGCTTCCTCAGTTGACTGGGCAATTGTGCTTTCAGGCTAAAGGGAAGGAATATACAAACACAGTAAGTTCCAAGCTGAAGGAAACAAGCAAGCTCCCCTCTCCTCTTCCATGAACATCTTCCAGTTTCAGTTGGAAATAATACCACCACACGTGCTCATTTCCCTTTCATGGTTTGTAATTTGTTTTATTTCTTCCTTTAAACATCCCTTTAAGGGTGAAATGAAATCCAACCATTTACAGAGAAAATGATTTCAGAATGTACACTTTGATTTTTCCCTTACAAAAAAATTATTAATAATTGGTATTTATAAATTAGACTTTAAAGGGCTTCTTCAACTTATTTGGCAAGTCCCATGTATTCCTTAGCCAACAGGGGGCACAAAAGCTATTTCTTTGTGCTGGGACAAGAGATCCCGTATCCTTTCTTTAAGAAATGAGCTATTTTCAGGACTTTCCACGGTAGAATGCTGCTCAATTGTTCCCTCAGGAATCATGCTGGATAGTGGTGTGCACCCTTGTTGCAGGTTTTTCTTCATATCTCTTTTAGGCTGATTTACCAGCCTTGTTCCCCCCACCCCCACCTATGAGAGAGTTCTGCATCAAAATTCTCTCTAGCTTCTTTATGGCAGGGGTGGCAAAGTCATAGCCTTCCAGATGTTATTAGACTACCACTGCCATCACCCCAGACCATTGGCCATGCTGGTTGGGGTAGCTGGTGGTTGACTCCAACATCATGTGGAGGGCCACTGGTTTCCCAGCCCTACTTTTATAGCGTGGTTATGGCCCATAATGCCTCCCCCTTTTCCCCCCAACAAAACTCATCAACTCCATATTTTCCCTTTTTAAGATCCTTCAGAGTTTGAAAAGAGCTCCGAAGGTTGAGTGGAGTACCATTCCTTTTCCCCAAACCATTCAGTTTAAGGTCTATAAAGCCATGGCACCTTGTCCCTTCCAATCCAATCCAGAGTGTGACTACTTCCACGATTACTCCAGATCTCCACCAGTAGAGGACAGACAGAGAAATGAAGTTCGGCAACTGCCTAGGAGCAGGCAACGAGTGAAAATTAATGGTATTTCAAGTCTGAGCTCTAGATTCGCAATGAAAATGCCGTAGTTTCACCAGAAATGCTTCAGAACATCCTTATGTGCCTGCTATAGAAAAGAAGTTATGAATCTTCCAGTTTTCCTTTTTCAGCAGCTGAATACCCAGTCTTAATGACAGTATCGGGAAGACAAGGAGCTACACAGCAGAGAGAAAATATCTCTTCCATACAGATACACAGAACTAAAAAGAACAGCCTATCCAGCTCTCTGCGCAGTGCCAACTTTGTCCCTTGTAACTGGATAAGGTGTGAAGTAGCCCCCAAGGTCACAGAGAACATATGAATATGAGTAAGAATTAGTACAAATTGATAACCAGTCACATAAGTTGCTGCCTGTATTGGTCAAGGGATGAAACGATGCTTACAAGTAGGTCAAAGGAGCTCTTCTCTAATGCTTAGTTCATATAAAGAGCAGATAAGACGAGGAAACTGTTCCTGGACCATACCCATTTCGTACTGCAGCTATGGGATCTTATAGCAGAGTGCTATCTCGTTGGTGAGGGTGGGTAGGAATCCCTAGAGACACAAAACAAACAAATCATAGAAAAGTCAATGGTGGCTATAATTCTTCTCCCTCACATCTTTCTCTCACACAGGGAAGTTAGTTTTGTTTTCAGATAAGGAAAAGCATTCAACCCCCCACATACCTTGCAACTTAAAAAGAGGTAGAGTCAAAGACCAATTTCACAACCTCATTTTGTACAAATCAGGTTTGAAGACAGTGGAATGTGGCACTATGGGAGATAGAGTTTCTCTGAACAAATGGGAAGTTATCCTCTAAATCCTGTCTACAAAGTGGGCACTCTCTCCACAGTTACTGGCCATAGTTGCTGTCACTGGCCATGACAATACTTCTGGAGGTCTACTAGGGATAAGTGAGGTGGGTCTGTTGTGGGGAAAATGGGAAAGAGATACTCCCCAACTTCCTCCAGCTATTCATGGAGAGAGGAGACTCAAGCTAGCTCTGCTACAAGTTATATGCTGGCATTCATGAGGATAGTGCATCATGATGGTTATAGTACTATTGGTACACTTGCAAGTAGCAATTATGCAGCACTATAACAAAGACTGCTCCAAACCTTTCTGCATAGCAGGAAAGAACTCTGCTAATACTTTTAAGTCAGCCCACCCTTTGCCCATTTGAAGTGGCATGAGTTATTCTAAAAACCAAAGTTCTTTCCAAACACTCATCAATACAGTTAAGACACGACGTCACTGCAGCTGCAATGCTGAACACAAATTCTGTGTATACATTAAACTGATGGAGGGGCAGGCACTAAATAACCACTTGCACAGCATCAGCTACTCATTAGTATGCAGCCACTGACACACTCCAAAATGAGGCTGGCTTTGCCCACCAACCACACCAAGGGCTCATCCACACTTCTGTCTGCCCCACTGCTTTCTCATGGGAAAACCCATAGTTTAGTGCTGAATTGGAACAAACCGCAATTGGCAAAATCACTCAGACCTCTGGCTAGAAAGCAAGGGACAAGTGGAAGTGGGGACGGACCCATTACCTTTGTAATGATGTGCAAGGATCTCAGATTCTCTACGTGGTACCAGCTGGGTACAGTCTTATTACAAGATGGAGGCTGAGCACACCCTGATTTTTCTACATCAGTTGTTCCTCTACAATTGTGCCTAAAGGATCTTCCATTAGGGCAGGTTCTTCAATCATCTCGGAGCTCTCCTCTTCTACCTGTTGCATACACATTTAATATTTGACTCACTCATTTCCCATTGACTCTGCAAGTCAAGGCATAAAATTAGGTGCCTAATTACTGGCTTGCCAAGATACTTCCCCAACGTCGTTTCTCCTTTAGCCACTATTGGCCACCTCCCACCGGAATGCAGAAGTCCAAAGGCTTTTCTATTAGTGCAAAGTTCCTTAATGTGGGACTCTGTTCCCACTACGTAATAAATAATTAAATAGAGGGTTCTTAAACTGGAAATGTTAAAAAAACACACCATCGTACGCAAAAGGCAGTCCTATTTTTTAAAAAGCAAAGCTTTTACTGTAAATTCTCCTTTTCTTCCCCTACCCCCAACCCAAGAGGTCAGTTTCAAGTTTCACTTTGGTGCAGTCAAAGAAGGGGACCAGAACAAAGAGTTCTTTCAGTGTCCCAAAGGAATTCAGCGCTAACTTATCCAATTACAATGGGATCTGTTGCTTGCACACAACGGGGCGGGGGGGGGCAAACCCCCCACCCCAAGGAAGGGGGAGAGGTGCGGAAAGTATAGCGGGGCTAGGAACAGCCTGGCTGTCTGTGTGTGTTGCGCTTTTCAGTGACAGATGGAGCCTAGAGACAGCAGTGATGGGAGTATTACGAATTCATGAGCAGTAATTGTGAAAGCCCTAGATGTGCACAAAGCATGCCCTGTAGAGCAAGTGCAAGGACTGAAATGAACAGCGGGCTGGATTGGAGGAAGGAGCTCGGTTTGCAGGAAAGCAGCACAATGCTGAAGATATGGTGAAGTCATCCCCTTGGTCCTCATTTCTTGAAGGGCTATTTTTCTGAATTTTGTCCCAACACGCTGCAGGCTCACAACCAAGCACTGCAGCATAGCCAAAGCTCACATTCTCCATGTCCCAAGAGCTGGAGCCCATCTCTCCCCCCTCCCCCTCCCTTGCCTCTCAACACACATCAGTAGTGAAGGAACATACTGCAACGATTGTGTTAGGCAGGCTGGGTCATGAGAGCTGAAGGTCAAAGCCTAGATTCCCATTTCCTCCGAAGACTGAAAGAAAACTATTCCCTCTGTGTAGTGGGCCTTTGTATGGCAGTACTGGGAACCAATGGTGCTTAACAAACCTCCATTTGTCACCAGTAGCTCCTTTGCTATTGCTGCACATACATTTTGGAATAGCCGCTTGAGATCTGCTCCATCAACTCTACACCCCACTGTGCCCGCTGTACCCAGTATGGTTCAGGATCCCTCTCCTTTAACCCAATGAAGATCTTCTCAGAGAAAAAGCGTGCAGCCCATTCCATGGGTCATTTTAGTGCAGCCTTCTCCAACACGGTGGCCTCAAGATGTTTTGGACTGTAATTCCTATCAGCCCCAGCCAGCATGGCCAATGGTCAGGGATGATGGGAGTTTGAATCCAACAATACTTGAAGGGCACCAGGTTAGATAAGGGTGGTCTAATGCTTCAACAGAGAAAGGAACCATGTACAAAATTTAGCATTGCCTTAGAGTGGTGCACAGAGTTAGGCTGGCATCACCAGCCAATCCATTCACCCATCCAACAAAAAGAAAAGGGGCTTCAAGTGAGCTCAGCTTTAGGCCGGAATTTCCTTCATTTTAAAGGCATAAAGGTCAACTCATACAACCATTTTTACATGGCACAGCTAAACGCAAGATGACTTTGGTTGGTACAGGGAGCCACTTCTCCCACCACCCCTTGGCTCAAACCCACAGGCCAGAAAGTTTGCCACTAGAAGAGGTGTAATCATCTTGAGCTATCCAAGCATTCACAAGACCAGCAGCTGCACCAAAAAAGAAGAGTCAATGCAAAGGGATTTCATCACATGAAAATGGTAGAGCATGAACTGGCTGAGCGCATCATGGAGACAAAGCATTAGGAGTGATGCCAAAGGAAAACTATAAAGAAGACACAGCACTTTCTGTGTCTTTTATAGGGATCAGGAATAATGCATTTGAAGGGCAGGAAAGACAAAGGGAACGAGAGAGAAAACACACACCACACATCTGAGTAACATACTGTTCCAGTGGCAAGGAACCTGTGTGCACCTCCTATTGCTGCACACACATCACCCATTTTTTGCAGTTAGCATAGTAGCTCACTGTTTAATATATTTCCTTAGCAGCAAACATAACATGGGGTTTACAATACATTTCACCCTGACTCCATATAGTAACTTAAAAGAGACATAGTGGAGCCTCTTCACCAAAGGAGAAAGGATGCACACCGTAAATGGAATACTTAAACGCTTGGCTCTTACATCAGCCTCATCCGCCACACACCCTGTCCCCTCTACTTGCCTATGCAAACCACATTATAGGCGTGCAAGTGCTAGACTTCCAATATAGCACTGTCCTCAAAATGGTGGCATCATAGAGCCAAGTACCTTTACACCTCTCCTGTTCCAGAAGTAGTAGAATGGGCGCTGTAGCTTTAGCATCCTAATATCTCCTTTCCTTAAAAGCAACTCTAAGCATGACATGCACACTGTTTTAACTGAAAATGTAAACAGCACATTTTGTTGTCGTGGAAGAGAGAAAGTAGGACCTCAGTGGGCATTCCCCTTGCAAGTCTGTGGGCTACAGCCCTACTGTCATGTTCCTTCCACATTAGAGACTGGCTACCAAAACTATCCATTTAATGAGCAAAACCAGACAGCTTTTCGACCTCCATAGCCTGCCACTTTGCAGAGAGTTTTTCCCTGAATGTTCATCATCATCAGGTGGAAAGCAGAGTTCTTTGGTGCTACCATGCTCCCAGTTTGTGTGCACACCCACACTCAAATGTAACAAACACACGTGGCAAAATATACATATCCTAGACAGACATGACTCCTGGAGTCACCTACGAAAGTTCTTTCACACTTATACACACATTTCCTAGTGAAGCTGCCACCCACCTGTTCTGGCTCCAAATAAAGAGCATTGTATCCAGGGACACGGTGCTCTTTGGCCAAACACCACCACATGCTCTTGAAACGACCAAGACAAGAAGAGTCCACACATCTACCCTGACCTCTGTCCATAACCTCTATGGGCTGAACAAGTGGCAATATGCTAGGAGAGCAGAACTTAATTGGACACCCATTGGTTTCAAATGACTCAGATGAACATTGGCTTTTAGCAATGGAGTTTGACATCACGCCCACCTAAACTACAAAGACTCGAGGCTTCTGCACCCTCACACATCCAGCTGTGTGCTCCTTCTCATCTCCATGTCACACAGAGAGGCGCTACCTGTCTTAAGAGTTTTCTTCCATCCCACAAGAGAGGTGAAGGAGCTGTACCTCCTGCTGGTTCTCAGGGCCAGTTCCTGCATCCTCTGGTCCTTGTTTACATGGTTTGGAATCTCCCCCACACCCAGACACACCCAAGTATATTTTCTGGGATGGGGCAAACAGAGGCTGGAGAGAACACACACTTCTCCAAGAGGAGTGGGTGGGGAGGGGGGGAAGAAAAACAAAAGACGTACCCCACTTCCCCCTTTTTCCGTAAAGTCCCATGCAAGCCCCACTCCCCTCACCCAGCCCCCTCTGCTTTCTGGTAAGGGTTCTCCAATAAGTAACTAAATCGCTGGTAGTTCTTCAACAGATATTTGGGGGCATACATTTGTTCTTTGGGGTCCGCAGCAGGGTACTCTTGGGTGGTGCCATCAAACCACCCGCCAGTCCGAATTAGCTCCCGGATATAGTTAAGGTCCCGCTTGTCCTCGTAGTCACCCCAGCGGGGGAAATCCCCATTCTGGGCTGACACCAGTTTGAAGTAGATTCCTTCTGGTGTAAAGCACCAAGAGCAGTGCCAGCCAGCAAAATGGAGCGGGCTACCCAGTGACCACTGCACCAGGATGTGACCTGTGCTGTTTTCATACTGCCGAAAGCCTGGCATGGTGTAGTACTCCCTCCGGCGCAGGCGAATCCCATCTGTGGCGTAAACAGTTTGGAGCATCCCCACCGTGCAACCAGAAACCACCTCCAGGGTGCCGGGCTGCTTCCAGAAGAATCCGTAGAGGGATTTGCGCATGTGGAAAGCAAAAGGCTCCGTCCAGCCATCGTAGAGTTTGAGGAAGAGCACGCCGTCGCGGGCCGGGATCTCGTCGGCGTCGTCAATTATGAAAACGTCATCGGGCCGCAGATTGCGGAAGCGGGAGATGCCATCCCGAGTCAGGAAAGTGCGCAGGTAGTCATCGGCAATCCAACCATCCTGGCGCCCACCTGGGGGGAAGTGATCCAGGAAGACATAGAGCAGCTTGTGGCGGATGTAGTCAAAGGAGCCATTGAGAAGCATCTCGCGGAACTTGAGGGGGCGTGGCTCACCATATGCGGTGAAGTTGGACTCACAGACCACAAAGGCATCTACCACATCGCCCAGCTCGTGGAAACGCACGTCCAAGAGGTCAAATTCGTGGTTGACGTTGATGGCATTAATGACTCTCCGAGGAACCTCCCGCGGGGTCAGCCGGTCTTTAGTGGGGAGGTTCGAGTACTGGACCACGGTGGGCACCCCGCAGCTAGGCCCATGCCAGCCAGGCAGGCATACGCACTCCACCCACTTGCGCCGCTTTGTCCCATTGGTGCTCAGAGGTTTCCGGCCTGTCCGCCCCGAAGCAGCTCCTTCTATTTTCTCCTCTGGCCGGCCCACTAGTGGCTTTTCCAACACCTTGGTGCCTGGTTTGAAGCAGACACCGCCAGCTTTGGTATGCACAAAGTATTCCGCCGTGTCTTCAGGCAGCACAAACTCGGCTCTATGCAGCTCTTCGCCAGCTCTGCTTGGGGAGAGGGGCTGGAGCAGAGGTGAGTGGGAGTACAGCGGAGTACGGAGGAATTCCGGGCCCCCAGGCTCAGGGCTGACCTGAGGTGTGACGGGTGCATTGTTCCAGAAGAAGTTGGAGACCAGGTTGGGGCTAAGCGACGCCAGCTCCCTGGGGAATGTGACATAGGAGAGGGCCTTCAGGAAGTGAAGGAAAGAGATGAGGCAAAGACCAGCCATGCACAGAGTCAAAAAGAGTTTGTGGCGTCTCATCTTCATCCTGGGATGGGAAGGAGGGAAGACAAAGGGAAAGAAAGAGAGAAGTTGGGTTAAATATTTCCTAGCCCACAGAGGTTGTTTAATCATTGGTTGGGTAAAAGGCAGCAGTGCCATCAGGGGCAGAAGCCAAGCCCCCACCACCACCCCACTCAGCAGAATGAGCTAGAGGTCCCCCTGTTATAAACAAAAATTGCCCTTTTCCCTTATGGGGTATCTAAGAGCCCATATAGAGTCCTTACATAGGTTCCCTATTGGTAGGAGAGAATAACAGAGGCCAACCAGAAAATATTGAGAAGCAAAACAGCTAGTAAGCTTGATTTTTATTGATCTGTTGCAACAGGGTGCTCCCCTCACCCACAGGAGAGAGGAGCAACCCAGAAAAATGGCATGCAAGGCCTTATAAAGACTTTTAAAATTGCCACCCTGTAGATCAAGACCACCCCCAGAAACATCATACATACATCATAGAAGGAGTGTAACCTTGTTAGCTTCGCCTTTGAGCCAGTGCCACCGACTGGGCTCAACCTCTTCAAACCTAAGGCCCCCCCCCAGATACATCATACCTACATCACAGAAAAGGCGGTCTAAACAGAAATTTGAATGTTGTTTTTCCCTCTCCTGTTCCTGTTTATCTCCTGTCTGGCAGGTTACTTGATTGGATTGCCTGGGGAGCCTGGCCATTCTTTTGTAGTAATAAATACTTAGTTCCTGGGCCATGTCACAGGCTCACACCCTATTCATATCTTAAATGTGCCCTTAAGACAGGATTTGTGAGAAAAGAGACAATGGGAGGTTTCCCACTTTGACCTTGTGGAGAAAACATTGGCTCAGTTTAGGAATCAAAATGGTTCCAGGTTGGTCTTCCTGTGCTGATCTATGTACGTGCTTGGTTGGTACACTTATGAACATTACCATATATCTAAGACCATAAAATTCCTATCACACCCCTAACACACGAGAGCTGGATTACCACATTTTGTTTTTTTTCCTTTTTTAAAAAAATGATATTTATTGGGGGGAAAATTTTTTTAAAATTACACACACAAAAAAGACAAGACAGAAAAATAAAAAATAAAATAAAACCATCATTCTCAAATTCTCCACTTTCAATACCTTCTTTCTTTGACCTCCTCCTCCTCCCTTTTCTTGTATCCTGATTAATAATAATCACAGCAAATCCTTTCCATAATTCATAGTATTCTGTCATTACATTACCTTAAACTATTTTCATCTTATCTTATAGAAAACCTTAAAGTTTAAAACTTAAATCTTATTTTTACCAACTTCTCCTAGCCATAACATTCTTACCAAATTCTTTAGACATTTTTACAAGAGCCAAGTAATTTCATTTCAACATTTTTCTAGAATTCATCAATTTTATAGAACAATCCTAATGATAAAAAAAAAGAAATAAACAATCCAATCTTCATCCAGCGTCTCTTCCTCCTGGTCCCGGGTTTTGTCAGTCCTTTTTATCTTATTAATCTAGCACATTAACCTGGTAATCTTATATCCGAAGCCCTCAAGTCTCTTCCATGTCCCTTCCGCAGCTCTTCTTCATATTTTCCTTTCGTTCGTGGGAACTCCAGCTTGGTAATGTTTTTGACCCTTTTCAACAAATCAGCCCCTTTTCCATAGTCCAGACTAGACTCCATGTGGTATTTAAAAACACGTTTCAGATTCCCTCCAAAATTGAGAGCCCCCACAGCTCCAAACATCTGACGGCCCATTGCCAGACTCGAAAAGTCCAAATCTCCCTGTATAGGGGGGTCTGTCCAACCCCCCATTTCCAAACCAAACCAAACTTTCTCTTTCCAAGTCTGGTTTTTTCCAAGTGCATTTGTCAAATCCAAAAATTTATGTTCCTGCTGGGCCGCAGCTCCCTCCGTCTCTGGCGCCCAAGATTCAGCAGCATCCTCTTCTCTCAGCTGTTCTGTCATGGCACACTCCTGTTTTAGCTCCTGGGTGGGCTCCATATAATTTCCCACTACCTGTTCAAAGGTTCTGGCCGCATTAGTCATCAAATCCGTCTTCTGGCTTAACTGATCCAATAGGGCATTTATTTTGCAGAGAGCACCCAACAGTGCTTCTGAAGACATTATCCTGCAAGGTCACAAATTCTTTCCCACGGTTGTAATCTGTGGCAGCTGCAAGCTCCCAGGAATTAATTACAATTTCGCAGTCCCCCTCTAGGGGGAAATCTTCTGATTGTTCTTTCTTTTAAAAACAATAGCAACAAAGTTTCTTTTTTAAGGTATTTTATCCATATTTGTTCTTTTTAAAATGCGAAAGGGAACAATGGAATCACTATGTTTCTCTTCTTTTAACTATCTGTCAAAGACATTTGTTTCTGGTCAATGAGCTTTTGAAGAAAGTGAAGGAATACATGTTTACGATCTAAAGATGGAGCCCTCCATAAGACTATTAAGTTCAGAGTCTAAAATTACGGTACTTAACTGCACACAGTTAAAATGTTGCAGGATGGGAAGCATAACCAGGGTTAGGCGTTTTTCCTCCTCACAGATTTAAGCAACAAAGGTTCAGCAAAGGGCACTACATGGCATGAACTGAGTCCCGACAATCCTGTAGAAATGTACAGCTCATGAAATCAATCCTGGGGGAGATAATAATTCTGTAGAAATTTACAGTTCTTGCAGCTCTCCTCTACCAGTAAACCACAACCCAGAAACCTGGGCTTAGCTTGGTTTCCAAAATAGGGCGGAGCTTATATAAAGTTCTGCATTAACAAAGACCACAATGCGCCCCCAGCTGGCAGGAAAATCCATTCATAAATAACAGGCTTAGCTTTTAGTTCAAGCTCAGCGTAGGCTCGGCTTAGGTTTTAAATGCAGCTTATTAGCGTAAAGTGTAGGTACAGACCTCAGTTTGGTTTGAAAAAGCAGCCTACAGTTTCAAAAGCTAGAGTGCAAGTATTAAAAACGAGGCAGGTTTACAGTGAACCAAAGCTTTGCCTTCCAGAGGGACTTGTCTTTCTCATTCCTGTTTTCATTCCCTTTTTCATTCCTGTTCACTTTCTATCCCCAAGGGACTCATCTGATCAACCCCCCCCCCCCATTATACCACCATTCACTAGAACAACTGCTGTAGTTGATCTACGCACCCTTTAAAAAAAAAAAAAAGGTCCCCTGAGACTATTTGGCTGCAGCACAAATTGGGGGAAGCTAGCCAGGTACATAGCAGTGAAGGCAAGGCTCAGAAAGAGCCTAGTTCTCTAGGCTCAGCCCTACTGACAAGAGAAGCAGGAGTGGGAAAGGAATGAGAATAGGTTGTTACCTACTCATTTTGTTTTACTGCTATTTGGCATTATGAGCAACTGGAAGGAAAATCGATTCTGAACTTATTTGTCTTTGCCCTTTGATAGGTATTTTATCTGGTTGCTGTCAATCTGTGTAGATAATGTTTTCCTGCCCTTTTGTCTTATTCTGATGCAGTTTATCTGGCTAAGTTTGCAACTCACAATTAGCTACTGTTTCTGTTTTATCTAGCTGAGGGGGATCAGCCTGTGTCCCAAGAATTATAATGATATTCATGTGTGTGAGTGACTCAAGTAGTTCTGGACAGAACAGCAGGGGTAGGAGCTTCATGTCTTGCTGTTCGGTGAAGTGTTTTCAATTGTATATGTTTTCTTTTTTAAGAAGTGCACTGCTTAAAAGGTCTTGTAATGAAAGGCTTTCTCTATCTGAACTAAAGCTTTTTGCTGTTGGGGGCAGATACCAAAACAAATGATCTAAAATACTTTTGGTGATATCTAGGGATTGCTATGCTGCCATTTTGACCTGGATGTGATTATTCATGGTTTAATAATATAAAGATTTGACTCCTGGGACATGACTTACACAGTAATGGCCCTGAAAAGCAATGGAAAATGTAAACTGATATAAAATGCTACCCGCCTGGTTATTCATTTGCGATAGGTGCTGTTTCTTAAACTTTTCATAATCTGCACTGGCTTCCACCCATCTGACTGGGTTGGTTAATTAAAACATTAAGCGCAGTAAAACATCAAACATTAAAAACTTCCCTATACAGTGTAGGGCTGCCTTCAGATGTCTTCTAAAAGTCAGTTGTTTGTTTCCTTGACATCCGACAGGACGGTGTTCCACAGGGTGGGTGCCACTACTGAGAAGGCCCTCTGCCTGGTTCCCTGCAATTTCATGTCTCGCAATGAGGGAACTGCCAGAAGGCACTTAGAGCAGGATCTCAGTGTCTGGGCTGAACGATGGGGGGTGGAGATGCTCCTTCAGGTATACAAGGCCCAAGCCATTTAGGGCTTTAAAGGTCAGCACCAACACTTTGAATTGTCCTTGGAAACGTACTGGGAGCAAATTTAGATATTTTAGGACCGGTGTTATATGGTCCTGGTGGCTGCTCCCAGTCACCAATCGCCACATTCTGGAGTAGTTGTAGTTTCTGAGTCACCTTCAAAGGTAGCCCCACATAGAGCGCATTGCAGTAGTCCAAGTGGAGATAACCAGAGTATGTACCACCCTGGCAAGACAATGCGCAGGCAGGTAGGGTCTCAGCCAGCATACCAGGTGAAGCTGGTAGACAGCTGCCCTGGACACAGAATTGACCTGTACCTCCATGGACAGCTCTTAGTCTAAAACGACTTCCAAGCTGCGCACCTGGTCCTTTAGGGGCCCAATTACCCCATCCCTCCCCCATTTTGTGAGCTGCTTCTTTTTCAGTTTTAAAACGGGCTACAAGTTTAAATCCGAGGGTACTGCTTTTGCTGCTGGGGACTGATACAGTGGTGCCTCGCAAGACGAAAAGAATCCGTTCTGGGAGTCTCTTCGTCTAGCGGTTTTTTCGTCTTGCGAAGCAAGCCCATTGATGGGATTAGCGGATTAGCGCTATTAGCGCTATTAGCGGCTTTTAGCGGCTTATCAGCTTATCGGATAAGCAGATAAGCGGCTTAGCGACTTAGAAAAAGAGGGGGAAAAGGGGAAAAAAACCCCAGGAACTCGCAAGACATTTTCGTCTTGCGAAGCAAGCCCATAGCAGATTCGTTTTGCGAGGCACCTCCAAAACGGAAAACTCTTTCGTCTAGCGAGTTTTCCGTCTTGCGAGGCATTCGTCTTGCGGGGCACCACTGTACTGCAGTAAGGTTGATACTGTTCTTCTAGGTGTCAGAGAGAAAATTCTGTCTTTGAAAGGACAAGAACAGCTCATGCAAAAGAAGAACCCGTTTCAGATGTCACCACACTGGCAGAAACTGCTATTTGCAAGAACTACTATTTGCAAAAATTGCAGGCCAGCTGCAATGCAGAAAAGACAATTAATGTGAAGGACATCAAGGCTAGTTTAAGGATGCTCATCAGTAATTGGAAGGTAAAAAAAAGGCCTTACTTTCTATTTTTGGTAATGTTTTCAGGATGTGGCTGAAGATGGAACAAAACCCACAAAACTAGTTCAGTACACCTGGGACGCTCTCAGACACTAACTGATATTCATAATATTGGATTTTAAGTTATTATTGTTATTATTATTTATTTATTAAATGTGTATAGCGCACTTCATCCAAAGATCAAAAATACAAAATAAAATAAAAACAATAGAAACAAACCAACAACCTTCCCCGCCCCCACAAACATGCTTTTGCCTGATGCCTGAAGATATGCAACGAAGGTGACAGGCGAATCTCCCTGGGGAGAGCATTCCACAAACAGTGAGTCACTGCAGAAAAGGCCCGTTCTCATGTTGCCACCCTCCAAACCTCTCATGCAGGTGGCACCTTAAGAAGGACCTCAGATTATGAGCACGGGGTCCAGTCAGTTCACTTTGAATTGGGCCTGGAAACTAATTGGCAACCAGTGCAGTCAGGCCAGGATCAGTATAAAGCAGGCAACTCTTTATTTGCGCAGGGGTTGCATTTTGGACATTCACACCCATCAGCGGAGTGCACACAAGCACGTTCTGCCCTCTTCCGGGTCCAAAATGACCTGTGCATAGGTGGTTGTGTGTCAATGAAATATATGCAGAATGGTCACCACCTGTAGGCTCAAACCATCTTGCCTCCATGAGCAACCTGGCTGTTGAATTTTGCACCAGTGGAAGTTTCTGAATCACTGTAGTTTTCGTCATTGAAAAATTGATCCAGGAAGTGGTCAGTTGATTCTTAACCTACCAGTGGAGTGATCATCCTATCTATATCTAGAAACTGGGTCCCCATGGCCAGTTCATGATTTTTAAAATTGACAATCATTTATAAACTTCTCTTGACAATATTAGTCTTTTGTCATGGGGTAACAGGACAATCCTATGCAGTAAATTCAATAGAGTTTACTTCCCAGTATGTGTGCTTAGGAATGAAGTTGTATTGTATGAATATGCTTGGCTAGACATCTACTGGTTATTCTAGCAACATATTTTTATTTTAAATGTCACTGAAACATTTTATTCAGAGATTTATTTGTTTAATCAGCATATCTCTTCATTTTATGTTTAGCCCATATGAAATTCTGCATTATTGTTGTTGGCGTCCATCTGTTGGGAGTGCCACGTAATCTGCCTAATTTAGAGGCACCTTCCTACTTGCTCTGGTTCATGGCTCAAAGGGCTTTGGGAACAGCAGACAATCTGGCAAATAAGAGTTACGTCAGAGCTTCTGCTGGGTCCTATATCACTTGTGGGGGTGAGAGCTCGTCTCCTTCCAGCCTGGTGAGTACTTGAAAGCCTCTAGGTTTCTAAAGAAAGGGAATAAATATAAAAAGCATAATACAAAGACTATTCTTTATCTTCTTGACCTCCTTGGACTCTTCACATAAGTGTTAATCTGATGACGGAGACAGGCGAAATACTGCAGCAAAGGGTCTGAATATCTTGTGGATAGTTCTTCTCTTAATGCTGCTTAAATTGGATTTTGGTTTTGGTGTGTTTTGCAACAGTTTCAAATTACTGCTGACTCAAGTTGAAATATTTATGCACTGGCATCCCTGGGGCATTTCCCAAACTTTTGATACCTGTGGAACAGGGTTTTAATTCTTTCGTTTTTCTTTGATCAAAATTGAATTTCTATCCTAAAACTTTAATAAAGGGTAAATGTATACATTGTCTTAATTTGATCCCAGAACCATGGGCAGGAATACTGCTTGGATATTCAGTGCATTTCATATACTGTTGCCTCTCATCATTCTTTGTCCGGTCAGGGACAGGGCCATGATTTCTATTGATGCTTCTAGAATTCCCTCATACCCTCCAGGTGTCACATGGGCTGCACTGGGGAATTCCTGCTAGTCTTTCACACTGGGGATGAGGAACGTGTGGCCAACGGTTGTGTTTGCACTCCAACTCCCATCTGCCCCAGTCAATATGGCCAGTGGTAGGAGATATTTGGAGTTACAGCCCAGCAACCTCTGAGGCGCCACTAGCTCCCCATCACAGCTTATGCCCGCCTTTAGATGAGGTCGCCCACTGCCCATAAAGTGGCAGAAAGGGTAGTGAAGGAAACTCTGTGGAGTCCCTGTCTACACAAAGAGGCAAAGAGTGATGGATGCATCCAGGAATGCACCTTAAACTACTTAGGAAATATGCTCTGACTCCTCTTATGGTACACTAATGGAAGGGATGGGCCATAGAGCAGTGGTTGAGCCCATGCTTAGCATGCAGAAGGTTCCCAGTTCAATCCCTGACATCTCCAGGTAGAACTGGAAAGACCACTCTCCAAAATGCTGGAGAGCCAGCCAGCCAGCGAAGACCAGAAAAAGCTAGATGGACCAATGGTCTAACTTGGTAGAAAGCAGCTTCTACATGTTTACAAGTGATGCTAAGCTACTGCCACTTGGCTCTTTACCTTGCACATGTTTCCTGCCCTTTGTGGTCAAGTCCACCTTTCTAAGATTTCTAAGAAATCATTGCAAATGGCCCTCATTTTATTTCAGCCACAATGTCATACAAACTATGACAGCTTAAAGAGCAAGAAAGCTAGCCTGCCCACTTTGACCCTTTCCTCCCCATCTTCCTTGCTTGGAAGCATCATGCAATTAGAAATTAATAGGTGCAAGAATCAAAGAGATATAAGCAGAACCAATAATTTTCCTCTTTTATCTGTCTCTCCATGACTTGTTGCCAAGAAAATGAAGCAGAAAGAGCCAAAGTCCACCAGCTCTACTCAGGCAGGCAGCCTAGGTTGCATTCTCCCCAGGATCAAAACAGCATGCTGTTAATGGGTTTCCATCTGATATCTTCTAGTCAGGAGTTAGGCACTATCAGCAGGAGTTGCCGGAAGATAAACAAGGAGCGATCTTCAGAAGAGGTTATGGCAAACCTCCAACAGTGCAATAACAACAGCCCTTGGGACTACGACCTAGTTCTCACTGAGTGGTAAGATTTCAAGTGGGAGAATTGTATGACTAAATGATCCTCCATACAGTAATCCTGTGAGCCCTCTGCCTTCAGTGGTATACAGTACTATACAATACTCAGACAAGGGGTTTTAACACTGCAAGAAGGCCTAAACATCCAGCTTTCCCAACAACCAGATTGTCTCCAAATCCACCCACTAGGAACACACACACCTTCCTCCTTCATACTGTTGCAAAAGTTGGGTACCACCCCAACCCTCTGCCCAGTGATAGGAAGATCCCAGAGGGTTCCAGGCATTCCCCCCCCCTTCCTTTGGCGAATCCCATCACCTCAAACAGACACACCAACACCTTGGCAATATCTGTCTCCCCAGGCCAAATGATTCCCTTCAGATGGCCATCAACACCTTTTGTCATGTTAACAGATTTACTCTTCACTAGACCAGTCAGGCTGGTTTGCATAAGACAGGAGGAATTCCTTGTCTGGCACAGCTTGTAAGGTAAAGGTAAAGGGACCCCTGACCATTAGGTCCAGTCGTGACTGACTCTGGGGTTACGGCGCTTATCTCGCTTTATTGGCCGAGGGAGCCGGCGTACAGCTTCTGGGTCATGTGGCCAGCATGACTAAGCCACTTCTGGCAAACCAGAGCAGCGCATGGAAACACCATTTACCTTCCCGCTGGAGCGGTACCTATTTATCTACTTGCACTTTGACGTGCTTTCGAACTGCTAGGTTGGCAGGAGCAGGGACCGAGCAACGGGAGCTCACCCCGTTGTGGGGATTCAAACCGCCGACCTTCTGATTGGCAAGTCCTACGCTCTGTGGTTTAACCCACAGCGCCACCCGCGTCCCAAATCTCAATTAATGAAAATCCTAACATTTACTAATTTCTAGGGTTTAGGGGGATCACCCCCCAAAATCTATAACAATACTCTTTCCACTACATCTGCAGGCAGAGAAGGGTTCATTACATTCATGTATTAACCTGAGGGAGGCCCAAGAACTATGGTGATTAAGAAGATACTCAGCATAGGAAAAGACAGGTAAAGCATCTGCTGGGAGAGACTCCTGTCTGAAACCTTGCAGAGCGGTTGCCAGTCAGTGTGGATAATTCTAAGTTGGAGTTTTGCCCTTCAGGCATAGATGTTCTTCAGCAGTTTTTAAGATGAAGGAAATTCCTTCATGTCCAGACACAATTATCTATGCCTGAAGAAAAGAAAAACAACCCTCTAAATTTGCAACTAGTAAAACTTATCAAGTGGGAAGCATTTAATGTATCCTATTACAAAGGTTTTTTTAAAAAACAAAACAAGAATTTGCTTTAATAATAAAAAGGCAGCAGCTTGAAGTAGGTTTAATAAAGAGACCCAGACAGAGGTTATCAAAAAAGACCAGAAAACCTTGTTCTGTTTCTTAATGCTTGTGAAACATGAAGACCTTTGGCAAAGTGCATTCACAGCTATCATAGTAGGAATACACCTGGGCCATTAAATTCAGAATGATTTTCAGAATGACAACCCTGGGCATCAAAGGAAATGCAGACCAAAATGTTCCAGTGAAATAAATGCTGCTTCCAAAGTAACTAAAGGCAACAAACCTATGCATGTGAATAGGCAACTTCCAAGAAAGGCTCATTGACTTTAAAAGGAGAGACGTACGATCCAATAAGTGTGCATAGGATTGCAGGCTAAATGAGTTATGTCAAATTAAAACCATAAATCAGTAGAGATCTCTAAGATGTAATAGGTTTCAAGCCAGAGGGTGTGAGGCTGCTTATTTAAACTCCAGTTCAGGAGTCAAGAACAAGTTGCCAGAGTTTCTTTCGAAATTTTTATGCACGACATTTAATTATGTGCATAATTATTTTTATACACAACATTTAATTATGAAGGCAGTGGACAGTATGGCGAGGTCTATGCAAGCTAGGGGTCAGAAAATGAGGAAGGAAGGAAGGGGACAGGGCAGAAGATGACCAGCAGAAGCAGAGACTAAAGTTATCTTACATCTCCTTCCTCTACCTTATGAAGCAATTTATTTCCAGATAAAAGAGAAGTAGCATTGCACAGCAGATAGAAGTCTTTGGTTTGCCTCCATTAAGAACTCTCTAGAAAGGCACTATTTCTTCCACTCAGCTCTCCATTGGCAATACAGGCATAAAACTGGCCTATCTTACAAGGCTAGCATAGGGCTGACCAAGAATGTGTGTGAAAATGTGATCTGAGCTATATAGCCGGTTATTATTGAAAACCAAGGACAAAGTTTCTTTCCTGAAGCCAAGACAGCTAATGCCAGCAGTTGTTTGTGTAAGTAGCATTGCCAATAAGAACAAGACTGCCTATTCACCTAAAACCGCAAGCCAGGGGTCAGCAATCTTTTTCAGCAGGGGGCCGGTCCACTGTCCCTCAGACCTTGTGGGGGGCCAGACTATATTTTTGAGGGAGGGAATGAACGAATTCCTATGCCCCACAAATAACCCAGAGATGCATTTTCAATAAAAGCACACATTCTACTCATGTAAAAACACCAGGCAGGCCCCACAAATAACCCAGAGATGCATTTTAAATGAAAGGACACATTCTACTCATGTAAAAACAAAGTGATTCTCGGACTGTCCGTGGGCTGAATTTAGAAGGTGATTGGGCTGGATCTGGCCCCCGGGCCTTAGTTTGCCTATCCATGCCCCAAGCTTTGGGGCACCCTTTGGCTAGATGGCCTTAGCAGGCTTGCCAGCCCAAGTAGCCCTATCAGTGTTGCTGCTGCCCATTCTCTTGCTCCGTGTCTCAGCTCAGTCTGTGCCACTGCCCAAAAAGAGAAGGCAAGGTGACCCAAGCTGCTTCTCCTGTCGGGACTCATCAGAGGACAGGTGAACCAGCAACATGAGCAAGGAGTAGCAGCAGAATCAGGGGACTGCCAGTTGACTCCTGCTGGGATATAAGCGTCGCTCGAGGCCACAGGCTTCCAATTCTGGCCCTGCATCTAACTATTAGATCCACTTGCCCAAACAAAATTTATCTCTGCTCATAGCTCCTCTTGTCCAGTCTCCTGCTAACGAGGTAGCAATAGCACCGCACTGTTTCTGTCCACCCAAGTGTCCCTCCTAATAACCTTTCTCATTCCATGCCACCAATTAGTGATATTCCCGCACACACAAAATATAACCTCACCCGAGCCACCTCAGAGGCCAAGAAACATTGCTTCCAACAGTGCACACAAACCCCTTTGTTCACCAAGGCAACGTATTAAAGCAGGGGTCAGCAACCTTTTTCAGCCGTGGGCCGGTCCACCGTCCCTCAGTCCATGTGGTGGGCCGGACTATATTTTGGAAAAAATAAAGAACGAATTCCTATGCCCCACAAATAACCCAGAGGTGCATTTTAAATAAAAGCACACATTCTACTCATGTAAAAGCACCAGGCAGGCCCCATAAATAACCCAGAGATGCATTTCAAATAAAAGGACACGTTCTACTCATGTAAAAACACGCTGATTCCCGGACCGTCTGTGGGCCGGATTGGGAAGGCTGCATCCGGCCCATGGGCCTTAAGTTGCCTACCCCTGTATTAAAGTCTCCCAGAAATCATCTTTTGGACAGGAGAGTCTGCCACATTCTCAGTCTGCTGCTTAGCTATGAAGGGGATGAAGGCCCATTTTTCACTTACGGCTAGCTGGTCCAAGCAGAGAAGCCTTGATGGAGCTCCACGGGAAGGCAGGAGTGCTGCTCACATGACACCAAGTAGTTCAGGTGCCGGAGATGAGCCCCGCTTAGCTTGGTGGTGATTAGGCCTCAAACTTTCCCCACTGTTTCCTTATAACTACAACTGGGCCTAGGCCCGTGGATGTCACATTGTGAAAGACTCTTTTCATAGCATCCTGCTTGCAATATTTTTTTGTTAAAAAGTTTGAAGACATTGGGAAGCACAGGAAAGCAGAAGCTTTCACAACTTGGTAGCAATAGTATCTCGCCCTCTGTTATACACACATATACCACAATGAGGACTTCTGAAGAAAGCCCAGAAGTCCCTTTTCACAGCCGCAGCATTGAACACTACTGATAATAATTTTTATTAGTTTTCAATCACTATCCAATAATAGCCTCATTATAACAATACCAATTTATAATCCAATTACTAATACCAGTCGTTCAAATACTGAATTATATAATTTAGGTAGCCCCCCCGCATGCTAGAATGGATGGTTTGAGGATTTTATTTCTGCGTTCCAAAACATTGAACACTATTATGGGTCATGACTGTTGAAACACTGGTCTAAAAATATGAGGCAGTCTCTCTCTCTCTCTCTCTCTCTCTCACACACACACACACACACACACACACAACGTTTTACAACACATGAGTAGAGACCCTGGCCCAAATAGGATTATTTGATGAGGATACACAATTGTTCAAAGAAGGGCCTGCTTACCTTAAATTAACAGGTTTTTGAAAACTTGAATAATCATGGGCCTGTGGATAATTAGACAGAAGCACAGCACTAAAATCCATAAATTGGCAGTTCAGCTTGGGGTTTATTTAAATATAGGAGCCTCCACTGATAAGCCCCCGAAAAATGCTTCTGCATAGTTGGTGCCATTTTTCTAGAAAAAGAGGTGCCAGGACTCATCATGAACGCCTCCCTTGTTCTCTTATAATGGCAATGGTGCCCACCTGAGAGGTGCTGGAACTGAGTTATGGCTGGGAAAAAGCTCTGGGGCATATACCTCACACTCTTAACTAGGGCTGCCATACGTCTGGAATTTCCCGGACATAGCCGGGATTCATCCGTCAAAAATGTCCTTGGCGTAATTTCCGGAAATTGGCTTAACAACTTTGCCAGACCTTTGTGTCCAGATTTTCACTTTTTGAAATATGGCAACAGTACTCTTAACCATCACACAAGTTCTTAAAGAGAACTTGCCTGGTGGGCAACTTTGTTGTTAAATCTGAATTCACTTCTGGGAGTATATATAGCATGTAGCACACACTAGAAACCTTGGTTTCTAATCTGGATTTGACCTACCCACTGGCAGATGGATTCATATCCTAGGGTTCCAGTTGTCTCTCTCCCCTGTGAGAGACATCACTGCAATAAAAAATTCTTTCATTGGGGAAACTTGAATTATAGAAACTATTTGTCATAGCACCCCAAAGCTATCAAATTAAGATCAGCCTGCCCTGCTCCTAACCACACACAGAGTCACCTCTGCATCCTCACATACCAGAGATTCCTCATCTCAGAGAGGAAGAAACATTTGGCCTCTGGGTGGGCTGACATTCTGTAGCCTTCTCTCCCATTTTTCCTTTTTCCATTTCCTGAGATTAACATTGCAATGCAAGAAATGCCTCTGAATTGCAGGCGCGTGAGGCCAAAGTTCATCCAATGAAGCAATCAACACATTTCTCCTTCACCCACAATTAAGAGAAAAGCAATGCACAGGTGGAAAGGAGACAACAGACCGCAGGGCTAGTCTAAGTCACTTTGTTGTCTGAGACAAAGGAGATGGTGCCCTTTTCTCTTCCACACACAGAAGCTGCCAGCTGACTCTTAATTCAACACTGGTGATGGGGTAGTGCATCTAAAGCAACGGGCTAGTATAGCAGAACCAGGACATGCCATGTAGTAGTCAACCATTTCCCCTCAGTTGGAGGACAGAGCTGCGTAAGGGAGGCTTAGGGAGATTGGAAAAGAGGCTGCCACCACTGCCTCCAGGAGCTGCTGCCTGAACCCGAACCAGTCCTGACAGAACCTATGAAAATCAGAGAACTTAAAGGATCTTCCCACCCCCCAAAATCACTATGGAAACCAGAGGTCTCCTATAACATCTAGATGAAACTGCTGAGTGGGGTTATCTGGAGTTTTGGAGTACATTGTCAGCAATACGATGACAACACACAGCTCTATTTCTCCTTTACACCTGCAGGTATGGATGTGCTGGACCTATGTCTTTCCTTGGTAATGGACTAGGATGAAAGCCAAACTGAAGCTCAATCCAGGTAAGACTGAGGCACTGCACCCCTATCTGGACAAGGATAGCCTAATTAATGTTGTTTATGTTCTGCTAACAGCTAGGTTAGATTACTGCAACACATTATATGCAAGGGCTGCCTCGGAAGGTGGTTCAGAAATTTTAGCTGGTACAAAATTTGGCGGCCAGGTTGCTCATGGGGGCAAGATAGTTTGAGCATATTATATTGGCTGCCAATTATTACCGTATTTTTCGCCCTATAGGACGCACTTTTTCCCCTCCAAAAATGAAGGGGAAATGTGTGTGCGTCCTATGGGGCGAATGCAGGCTTTCGCTGAAGCCTGGAGAGCGAGAGGGGTTGGTGCGCACCGACCCCTCTCGCTCTCCAGGCTTCAGGAAGCTCTGCGCAACCCTCGGGAGACCGGCGCCACTTCGCGCTCGCCTCCCGAGGGTTGCGCAGAGCTGCCTGCAGTCCCGGGGCGAGCGCCGCTCTGCGCAGCCATCCGGAGCGAGGCACGAAGTCGCGCCCGCTTCCCGATGGCTGCGCATAGCTGCCTGCAGTCCCGGGGCGAGCGCAGCTCTGCGCAGCCATCCGGAGCGGGGCGCGAAGTCTCGCCCGCCTCCTGATGGCTGCGCAGAGCTGCCTGCATTCCGAAGCCTGGGGAGACCGGCGCGACTTACCGCTAGCGTCCCTAGGCTTGCAGATAGCAGGCTGTTCTCGGGGCTGGGATTGGGGGAAGCTCGGGCTTCCCCCGCGCCTGGGGGGGGGAAATATTTTTTTTTCTTTATTCCCCCCCCCAAAAAAAACTAGGTGCGTCCTATGGGGCAGTGCGCCCTATGGGGCGAAAAATATGGTAATTATTTCCTTTCACCATGGAGGTTTTGGGGTGGGCTACAATTTTAAAAATGCAATTGTTAAAATAAAAATCAGTTAAAACAAATAACAGAATAAAAGGGTAGGTCCTAAAATATACATGAGGTGTCAAAGGCTAGGGGTAAAGAGGCACATCTTCAGCATTCAATGAAAACCCCATAATGATGGTGCCAGACACACTTCTGTGAGGAGGGGGGGATTCCACAGTTTAAGGGGTGCCACAAGGGTTGCCCTCCCCTGAGCCACCATCACCTCCAAACTTCTGAAGGCAGTGGAACTACCAGAAGGGTCCCCTCTGCCTGTCTTCAAACAAATGAGCCTGTGGGGAAGGCACAACAAGCCCCGCAATCAGCAAAATATTACTAGTTTGCACTGTGGCAAACACTAGGTGGTATGTTCAGATACTACTACTACTACTACTACTACTAATAATAATAATAATAATTTATTATTTATACCCCGCCCATCTGGCTGGGTTTCCCCAGCCACTCTGGGCGGCTTCCAACTGAATATTAAAAACAGTACAGCATCAGACATTAAAAACTTCCCTAAAGAGGGCTGCCTTCAGTTGTCTTTTAAAAGTAAAATAGTTGTTTATATGTCAGGTCAACGATGTACTGAGACAGTTTCATGGTTGTCATGAAGTCTTCGCCCAGCCTCAGAACAAATATTGGAAGTCCCTCAATACAATCTTGAAAGCGTTCTCCATCACCGCATTCAATATTACATTCTGCCAGCTTGGTGAAGGAGTTTGTAGTACAATAAGGTGGACAGTGCACTAACAACATCCCCTTTCTGTCTCACTGGCCACAAACACCACAAACAATCACTTGAACCCAGACACAGCGTGTATCAGTCTCATAGTGAGGGAGATGGATTTTTTAAAAAATGGGTGATAGTGACCTCCCTTCCCTGCCTCTCTGACCTATAGAGTGGTGTTGTACTGAGCACCCACGCAGACACAGCCGGGTTAGAGATGGGGAATCTGTGGCCTTCCAGATGTTGGACTCCATCATCCCTGATCATCACTGGCCATACTGGTTAGGGCTGATTTGGTTTAGAGTCCCACAAGGAGGGCCACAGGTTCCTCATTCCTGATTTAGTGATTTCAGCATGTAACAATCAACTGAGCCAGTTAAGAGATTAGAAATCCATGCTTTTTTTTTTAAGGTCAGCAATTTAATGAGCACCTTTTCCTGTAGCAGAATTTTGATTGCTAATAGTATAACACAGTCTTGTTACCTGGTAACCAAGAAACAGAAGCCAGAATTAAGCTATGGCAGAGAAGAGTCTGGGTTGTTTCCCAATGACTTCTATGGGACACAACATAAACAAACCTTATGGGAGGGGCATGTAATTGTTTTGGTTCATTACTATGTTTTGTGTGTTTCTATTGTAAATAAAATGCAGTGATCCTTGGATGAAGGGTGGTATAGAAATTTATTAAGTAAAAAAATAAAAATGTAAGGAGACTGGGAAATGAGTAAACATCTTCTCCAACTTCAAGATACTGGGGTCACCAATCACAGGGAGCAGATTGACTTCTCCAACTAGCATCCCTGAATGCATCCTTGATTTTCTTTCCCACTTAAGTCAATGGTTCTGGCACTTGAGACATGGTCAAGGTAGGGCAAAGCCTGCCTTCTACTTGTGACACTGAGTCCCACTGAGTAGGGCCCTTCCAATACATAGATTCACTTTCCATCATACCCTTTCTAGTATGAGTAGCCAACATGGTGCCCTCCAGATAACTTGGAAGTACAACACACATCAACCACAGCCAGAAAGACCAATAGGGATGATGGGTTCTGTAGCCCAAAAACATCTGGAGGGAACCATACTGACTACTCCAACCAACATAATGGCTGGTATTCTGCTAGCTGCTATTCCCTAATAATTTTTCAAGAAACAAACTCTTTTCAAATTATTACCTGAATTAAGATACCTAAATCTCCTTCTGAAAATTAAACCATTTTACAGGTTCATTCAAGAGACAGCTGTAATTTATTTGGTACATGGGGAAATGACTGGATCTAAGCTATTTTAGATCTAAGCTATTATAAATCTGTGCTTATTGTCATCTTCCTAAGCAGTAAGAAACTGGGGCCAAGTGCAGTAATACACTAGAGGTTATCTTCTCCTTCCCTAGAATTAGGCCTTCTTATTGTTCAGAATTATCAAGTGATTTATACCATCCTGTACTCACATCCGAAACATAGTGGAACTTTAGTAAACAGGTCAACAATTACTGACATTGATGTTCACCTTGGGAGCTGAACAAACAGAGGATGCAAACAACTTGATGTTATTCCTTACCAAGAAACTGCCCTTACAAGACATTCTCCAATATGTGATCTGGAAGCACAAGAAAGTAATTGGGATGTGTCTTGCACTCAGATGTCTGTGCACACCAGTACAAGACACTTGAAAAATGAAACAGCAACCTGGGAACCACAGAACCTACTTATGTTCTAAGACATTTCTGCACCTGAGGCAGAAAATATAGAGAGGCTTTGCTCCTCATCCTGCTGCCCACCGGTAGTGACAATCATAAAAATACCTATAATATTTTTCATTAGTTTCCAAAGATTGCTTGAGGACTCCTTTTGGCATAACGGATGTTGCCTTAGAAAAATAAAACTTAAAATTATAAGAATGAAAACATTAGGAGTGCAATTATGCACTCGTGAATAAGCCCCACTGAACATAGTAAGACTTTTGAGCAATTGTGCTGTAGGTCTTTACCTTTTAAACTTCAAAAAGGGTGTCTCAAAATGGCTTTAGGAATGGGTTTTTCCTCTTCAGTGATGCCAGTGGGTGTCTGCAGACCCAGTATGCCCTGTCCTTCAAAGGGAAATGAGGACAGATCATAGTGACAGGGTAAGTGATGCTCTACTTATCTCTTCCTACCCTACCCTGCTGAAATAACCACCTTGGGGTGGGGTTGCTGGTAAAATGAATTTACCCCACAAATGTTGTGCTAATTTTCAAAATATCACATGTGTATTGTACAAATGGCAACTGCATGTTTCCAGTGCAATGAAATGATTCTTAAGAACATACAGGTTAAATGTCAAATTCATTCTACACTAGCAACACAGCCATATGTAGTTCTATTATGTTTCTGCACACTAAGAGACTGGGTTCTGAACTTCACCTCTACCCCAAGCCAAAAAGAATACAGTGGTACCTTGGTTTATGAACTTAATCTGTTCCGGAAGTCCGTTCTTAAACCAAAGCGTTCTTAAACCAAGGCATGCTTTCCCATAGCAGCAGGGGACTCAATTTACAAATGGAACACACTCAACAGGAAGCGAAACATGTTCTGCTTCCAAGGCAAAGTTCACAAACCAAAACACCTACTTCCAGGTTTGCAGCATTCTTAATCCAAGTTGTTCATAAACTAAACTGTTCTTAAATCAAGGTACCACTGTATATAAATATACTTCCTTCCAGAATGAAGTCACCAACAGGCCTGCCTTTCTTCAGTTTTAGCTGACTGCCCTGAAGTAACTCCAAAACTGTTTGACTAACAAAGGTAACAATGGACAAAGAACAACACATTACATGCAAATGTGTATTAAAAATCGTGATGGCTTCTTCTTCTATGGTTCTCTGGATGCGTTGGACTACAACTTCCATGATCCCTGACCATTAGCCAAGCAGGTTGGGGTTGATGGGAGTTGCAGTCCAACAGGGGCTACAGGTTCTCTCTTGCTGCTCTAGAGAAAAGCCTCTTTGGACGATGTGAAGTGGAGAAACAGAGGGCAGGGATGCTTAACTCCCTATTACCCACTATTTTTCTGCTACAACTCTCCACCTTCTTTATTTCTTCCTTGAAAAAGATACATTTTTGCTTGATCAAAGTGGAGTTGGTCCCATCCAGTCACTTCCTTCTGTGCACAGACATCTAAATACAAACCGGTTCTCTCTTGTAAAATTCTCCTTTGTCATATTAACAGAGAGTCAGTCTTTGATTGGATTATGTCACCCTGGCAGGTCAGTTCAGGCTGAAAACACATCCTTCTTTTACTGCCGTTTCTTCTCTGAAGAACTCCATGTTTATGCCCTTTTATTTTTCACTTTGCATTTGATGGACTGGTCTATGGACTTAATGAGGCCATATATCTTCGTTTTGGTACGGAATGTTTAGTTGTGTTTTGAAGACTAATCCTCCGGGCCAGATACAACATTTTAAAAAAGCTGTTCTTAAAGACAAAGCAGGAAGTTATCTGTCCTTGTTTAAGCCCTACTTCCCAATGAATGCCCATAAAGATACTTTAGTGCTTGTTTTTCAAATAAGCAAACCAACTTGGCTTTAATGGGTTCTGCTGTGTCCAGCCAGATCAGGCCACTTCAGTATTGCTGCTGTAGCAACTTTCTTTGGGATAATAGGGACGTAACCACCCAAAAGTCACAAAAAGAATCTGACTTGGGGAGGGGGGCAGTGGAATGAGGCGCAAAGACACTTTAAAGGGCATAATGATGCAGTTTCATCAGTTTCAATGATTTCCTAGATCAAGTAGCTCCTGTAATTTTGCTACGGTTACAAGGCACCTTTGCGGGGGGGGGGGGTTAAAAATGGCCTTTAGAAAGCAAAGCAGTTTTCTTAATGGATGGCTTTTCTGTGGGGCAGGTTTCTGGAAAGAGGGGCTCAGAAAGAGGAAGGCACTGCAAAGCCCAAATGACAGGATCACTGCTGGGGGCGGCGGCGGCAACAAACACACACATACCCTGGTCACTTGAGGTTTGGCAGCAGGATCACTTTCCCACAGTAGCAGCTCTATTACTGTTTTGGAATAGAGCAGTCACTCCACCTCCCCTTCCCTCTCATCCCCCCTCCCTTTCTGTCTGCACGGGTCCCAACTTGGCTCCTTCTCTGCTTCAATGAATGTTTGGGGATAAGCCAATCCTATGCAAAAAGCATTCCCTGTCGCTCTCTCTCTGAACCCCCCTCCCACTCACTACACACAGACAGACAGACAGACAGACAGACAGGGGGAAACCTGACTCCACACTTTAATCTAAGGGGGTCTCTCTCTCTCTTCCTCCACCCCCACCCTTTCCTCTAATCACAATCCAAAGGTAGCAGGGGAGCAAAGCCCCTTCCAGTATGCATTACTTTTGCCGGAGGGAGATTCACTTGATCCAAGAAGTGGCCTTATTTATTTTTCCAGCCTTCTTTTGTTCTCCATTTCCTCCTCCTGAGCTCTGGCAAGACCCAGCAAATCACCTCATCCCCAGCAATTCTATAAGATTAACACACACACCCCACGCACATTTTTAAGAATCATGCCGTTAGCCAATGGGAGAAATAATGAAATACCCCACACTAGGGATGGAGATGGAATCTGTTTTTAAACTGATTTATTTATACATGGAATTTGGAGGTTCTGATCAGACTGTGTTTTGCTCACATCACTGCTTCTTGTGTAATATGGCAATTTATGTCCAAGCTGCTTGCGCATTGTTGTGGTTGTTTAAAAGTCCAACTAATTATGTGCAAAATTAAATGGTGGGGGTGGGATCTAAAGTTTCATGCTGTACTATATTTCTCCAGCACAATTCCACCCACTCACACAGTTATACATATTGTTGTGTGATGTGCTGGTTATTTTAGGAAGCCAGGAGTGGATATGTGTACATCATTATATGTATAATAGTTCATATATGAGAACTGTTCGTATTTTTTTAGCAAAAGGGTCCTTATCAAGATTAGGAAGCAAGACAGGAATTAGAAAAAATCCATGCAGATAAACTCGTCATTTGAGATTTGCAAAAAATTCCATCCCTCCCTGTGCTGCCACATATGTAACCAACAAAGTCTGATGAGTTGACTTAAAAGAGGATGTACTGCCCACCTAGTAGATTTCTGCTTGGGCGATATCCATCTTCTTGCAAATAATGGCCTTGCAGCTAGAGGACCTAACCAATAGGATTAAATTTCTGTAGAAGCTAGCTAGTTAACAGTTTCTGGACAGTAGTGACCGGCACAACATACCCCCAAACCAGGTTTTACAATTGCTAAACCTAAAGCAAACATTTTGTAGCATATTAAACTCATAAGCAAGGCTTAGGCACTGAGTTTTAAGAAACCTCTCAGTAATTTCAGAGGAAAAGGGGGGATATAGACTGAGGGTCTTTGAACTATGATAGAAGTATCTTCCATATGATTCAAGCCGAGTGCAGATTTGGCAAAGATTCCCCTGAATCTACATTCTCAGCACACTAAATTTGGACATTTCCCAGAATTGCCTCCTCTAGAGATGTATGTTTTTGACCTCAGATATAACCTTCTAATAGTAGGTGGCGAGAAAGCCAGGAGGACTAGGATCGCGTTCACACCATACATTGAAAACACTCTCTTACCAACTTAAACAGTTGTGGCTTCCCCCAAAGAATTCTGGGAGCTGTAGTTCGGTAAGGTAGCTAAGAGTTGTTAGGAGGCCCCTATTCTCCTCACAGATCCACAATTCCTGGAGTTTCCTTTGAAGAGGGATCTATTGTTAATGTGGCTAATTTTCATACTCAAGATCAGCCTCATTACAGGGTGGGCTTCAAGCTGTCATGCGCCACCACCCTTCAGGCAGGGATGTGGAAGTGCAGTTTTAGTGGCAGGAAATGCTGTGGTCAGATTTTGTTCACAGTGTGCTGCCCGTGAGTCTGTCCAGCATTAAGCACAAACTACTTTCTGGAGACAATGGACACCCTACAACCTAGGAAGCCTGCAGCGCCTTATACCAGAACCTGCCTTACAAGGGCAGCAGCCACAGCTCAGTAGAAGAGAACATGCAGGAAGCCAAAGGTTCAAACCCCAGCATCTCCAAGCTGGGCTGGGGAAAAACACTTTTTCTGAAATCCCGGAGAGCCGCTGTCAGGCAGTTTAGAGAATACTGAACAAGACAGACTGAGAAAAGAGAACATGTCAAACCTTCAGAACATTTCAGCCTACCAGAACACTCTGCCACTGATACCAAGGTGGACATACTTGAGCAAAGGAATTTCAAACATAACGGTCACACAGCGTAGTTGCATAAGTGTTACAATCCAGTCTTGTTAGCCCTTTTGACAGATCTGAAAAAGGCTGGAGTTACAACAATGGAGCAGCAACATTTACAGAGCTTACGAAATCAACATAAATTATATTAGATACTATGTTTCTATTTTTCCACAGCATCACTTAAATAATTAAAGGTGAAAAAGTTTTCCAAATGCTCTTTTTAAGCACCTGTTTTAAGCCCATTTTATTGCTTCCTTATGAATGCAAATGGGGAATTTATGATAGATAATAGTACAGTAATTGACCCTTGGGTAGCCTCTCAATTGACCCATTTCAGTTTCTGTTCTCACAAGATGCATGGGGGACTTCAATTACTACTGTCCTCTCAATTTTTAATAGCAAAAAAGAAGATGGGGGAAAGAAACTAGCAATTAAGTCCTCCCCTCACGCAGGAACAGAAACTGACACTGTGGGGATAGGTTATCACTAATCCTCCTCCTACAGTCATTGAGAAGGAAATCAGGCCAGCTCTACAAAGGGAGAAGCTTTAATAAGCATTACTGGAAACCTTTGCTGAATGGGACTTACCGTACCTGGGAATTAATACAGAAGGAGTTTGGCCATAAGGAAGGGCCCTGCTGGACAACTGGGTGCTTTATCAAGTGCTTGTGTGGAACCTCCCATTTTAATTCCAGCTTCCAGCTAATTGAGGAAAAGCAATGCCTCAGCAGCACACAGGAAGAGGAATCTAGAATGGAAGCAGCCTTTTGTCTCACGGCATGCTGATATTTTGCTGCAGTGTACCCAGAGGCCATTTCATACATTACAGGAAGTGAAAAAACACCACATTTCTATGGCCAGCAAACTAGTCTTTTAGTGGCTTAAAAACATCTGTGCTTCAGAAAACTTGTGGTGAAATGTACGCACCAAGCCTCAAGCCAACTGCATCTCCCGAGAGTGGGTTCACTACTTAATTTTAGATGTGCAAATGCCCTTCAGCTGTTGACAGGAAATGTGTGTTCCCACAGTGCCAAAACAAAGTCCTAAACCAGCCAGTCTGAACCACTGCACAGCCAGTACACCTAGCTTGTCTGCAAGCCACCAGCCCAGTCTCCACCGGTCTGGTGGCTTCCAGATGTTGTGGACCACAACACCCATCAGCCCCAGCCAGCAAGGGAATTCTTTGAAGAGCATCTACCGGGCAAAGGAATGGGGAGAAGGGAGAAAATGCAAAGAGGCTGTAAAGCCACTCTGATTTCAGCTGCTGAGATATAAATCACCAGAACCAAATAGCACTAGCTCCAGTATTTACAGGAAACCAGGAGATGCTGTTCCACTGCACAAATAGTCTATAAATGATGCACAAGCTTGTTTAATAATGCAAAAGCCATCCTATAGCTCTCCTGGCCGTTCCAAATGCAGGTGTGGCCACAAAACAATGACAGGAACTGGTGGGAAAGCAGGATTCATTTGGATCATGCACTCATGAATCAAAAAGACTTTTAAAAAATGACAACAGGGCCAGTAAGCAGTGAGGAATGGCCATATGGCAAAGGGTTTAAAAAAGATCCTGTTGCCCCCCCCCCCCCCGTTACAATCAAGGAGCTGCTGCAGCTGCAAAGAGACATGGCTAGCCATAAGCCTGTAATACTAAAAAAAAAAAATCATGCTCAAAGTAGGAATGGCAGAGAGATTTGCTTCAATTCACCTTTAAAGGTGAAGCTGCTTAATCTGCACTTTCTGAAGCAATTCAGGACCCGAAACAACCATCCTTCCAAATTTGCACTTCCCCAAATTTTGCTAAGCAGTAATGTGTACAACAACGCACATGATGCAGTAAAGTGTGCACAAAAATGAATATATTAGCAAACGTAACATAAAATTGCATTATATTGGGGGAAATTGCTTTGCAAAAATGTGTATGTTCTGCAAAATTACGGTACATACAAACATATTAGGAGAAATTTGCTGGTGAAGTTCCATTAGGTCTTTAAAAATAATTTGCAAACTGATGTCGAAATGTGCAAAAACTGAACGCAAGACTGGAAAAGTGAGAAACTACAATTGACACATTTGCCCACCAGATTCACATATCATTTGAACATTGGATTGTAGCAAACATCTCTCTTCAGACTCTCTCCTAGCGCTTCAGTTTAGGATGATGGAAACAACACACACAGGATCACAGAATTGTAGAGTTGCAAGGGACCCCAAGGGTCATTTAGTCACACTCCCTACAATGCAGGAATTTCAACTGGATCATACATGACAGATGGCCACCCAATCTCTGCTTAAGAACCTCTAAGGAAGGAGAGCCTACAACCTCCCCAGGGAGTCCGTTCCACTGTCAAATAGCTCTTACCATCAGCAAGTTATTCCTAATGTTATCCCTGAAGCCATTGGTTCAGGTCCTACCCTCTGGAGCAGGAAAAAGCAAGTTGGCTCCCTCCTCCAAGTGATAGCGCTTTAGATAGTTTAAGACGGCTATCATATCTCTTCTCAGTCTCATTGAAAGAAGACAAAATAACTTTACCAGGTATTCGAGATAAGACACCACCCACCTAGGTTGCACAAGGCCCAGTTCACACATTGCAGAAGAGAATAACCCTCCTCACATTTCTACCACAAACTGACAGCATCTCTCCCACCAAAAAAACTGTTCCCAATCTCTGCTGATCCAGATATTTTGAGTGAAGAAAGAAAGAAAGAGGAATATGTAACAACATTGTTAATTAATAACTGTACATTGCTTCACTCTACTTCCTCTGGGGCATAAAAGATTGACTCTATCCCTGAACCGGCCTGACCTTCGTAATTAGCCTCCTTTATGGCGATGCCTACATTGCTCTTTTGTGCTGGGCAAATAGTCAACACAGAGCATCCTGCCTTTCCCCAAAGGGCTACCCCTTTAAGTAGTTCTCGTATGTCCAACGTAACCCCAGCCAGAATGTGCTTGGTCTGTTTCCTCTCTCACTAGCAGGGATGTGTCAATTTCGGTTTCTCTCGGTTTCTTATTTTTATTCTTAATTTCAGTTCTTCATATTTTCACATCTGTTTGCATTAAAAAAAACCAACAACCTTCATGAAAACTAATTAGCATTAAGTGAGAATTTCTCCAAATAGAGTGGTACCTCTAGATACGAACGGGATCCGTTCTGGAGCCCCGTTCGCATCTAGAAGCAAACGTAACTAGTGACAGCACGTCTGCGCACGCACGCGTCGCTTTTTGCCACTTCTGCACATGCGCGTGATGTCATTTTGAGCGTCTGCGCAAGCGGCGAAACCCGGAAGTAACGCGCTCCGTTACTTCTGGGTTGCCGCGGAGCGCAACTCGAATGCGCTCAACTCAAAGAGTATTCAACCCGAGGTATGACTGTAGACTCATTTTTGGAAAGCTATTTCCCCATATATATTGCATTTTGGTGTGGTGTTTTCACCCTTGTATGTATTTTAATGCAGACTTCACCTCTGTATATGCACTATTGTACATGTCATTGACTGGAGAGCTGCACTACAAAATTTAGAGAATTGCAAATTTTGAAAGATGGCTCTGTGTTTCATTTCATGTATCATTTTGGAAAGTGAAAATAATATAGACTCACCTTTAAATGCGAACTGGATCTTCCAGGTTTTTCTTAATCTGCCTTCTCATGTTAAAGACTATGCAAGTCTCTGAAAGAAGCAATGTATCGGATTCTTATCTTGTGAAAACAGGCTGTAAAGCTTTGTTTATGGCATCTTCAGTTATGTAGCCACTGGGCATAAGTTTATGACCACTGCTCCATAGCAATTGTTGTTATACTTCACCATATAGATGGGTTTATGAAGGATTTGTGTATCCTTCTGCTGTGCTGAAGAAGAATTCCACGAAACAGTGGGTATATCCGGAATCACTGTTCACAACGTCTGTTTGTGAACTACTTCGGCAGTGTTGGACACCATAAACAAAGCTTTACAGCCTGTTTTCACCAGATAAGAATCTGATACATTGCTTCTTTCAGAGACTTGCATAGTCTTCAAAGACTCTCAGAGACTTATAAGACTTATGGTTATCTGGTTTTATGTTTTCAAGAGAATCCATTAAGGGTGCATATTTTGTGACTTTCAGAGATTCATAAGTTTTCTGTTTATGTGTTTTCATATATTTCATATTATATATCGTATCATTGTATTTGGTCATCGTGTTGCCTTGGCTATTACTGACTATTGTTTGCAACACAGGGGTTAAATTGTTCGGTTACTTCTCATGTTAAAGGGCCAGAACGAGGGTAATCTCGTTTTTCTGCTTTTCGTTTATTTATTCTAAATAAAGTGCAACAGGCTCTATCTCTCTCTCTTGCCAGCCTCTGCCTCTCCCTAAGAGGTTCTTCCCCTTTTGTTTCAGGCTTCAGAGAACTGGCACCTCTTTTCAGTACTATAGTGCTAAGCCAGAAAAGGGAGGTCACCGATTAAGACAGGGGTTTTGTGCAGTGTCTGTTGTATTATTATGAACCGTATGCTACCTGTCCCGATTCTGCTCATGTACTAGTCTGCCTTAGGATTAGCAAAGATCCTTAATTCCCATGTGGTTTACAAGTGTCTGGCACATCAGAGCACCTGAAGTTGCACTCAGCTCAGTCCAAGCCCAAAGTTTCACCCTTTCTTGATCCCAATAATCCTACACTCACCAGTCCTGAACACCCCAATCCACAATCACAGATGTAAGTCAGTTTTAGCAACAACCTCTTCCTAGGAAGCAACAGCATCATTGTTCTGTCAGATGGGCAAGGAATCTCTAAAAAATTACCAGCATCGAAGAGTAGGGTTCCCTACTCATGGGGGAAAACCATGAAGTTAAAGTGGTATTAAGTGCAGTATATAGGTTTGAAGCAGATCTAGTGCCCAAATGGAGAGAAAGTCAATACCCTCCACTCTTGCACAAGGAGAAACAGGCTTCTCAAGGCATCAGCGTTTGCAAGACAGTTGTTTTCATAGCCTTGTTTTCAGTTCCGTTCTAATTATTCTTAGTGCTACGATAACTATCTTACTGTAACTAAAACCAACACAGCAATTACACAAGGAAGATTGCAGACTAGCAAGAGATTTTATGCAGGGTGGCCACTTAAAGGAGTGTCTCTAACACTGCGGTTTTGTTTGTTTTTAAAAATTAACAACAGGTGTACCCCAGGTGAACCTTCTCCAGTCCCAAACATATTCATGGGTACTGTAAGTCCATCCCACTCATTTCAGCAAAACCTATTTCTAGAAGTCTGGGCGCATGTGGAGAGATAGGTGCACCTAACACCGTCAATGTAATGAGGCTTAAGCACACCTAACTCTGAATAAAAGCAAATTGCAAAAGCACTTTCTTGGCTGAGAGTCTAAGTACATTACTTGAAATTCCACTGAAGCCAAAATGTCATCTTTAGAGGGCACTGCCTACCCAGCAAGGTGTGGCAGAAAGAAGTGAGAGACAGAGCCATCTTGATGGAAGGTGGCACCTCTAGTGACGGAATATCCTCCGCCGGGAGGTTCTGTATTTGTTCTGGCACCAGGTGAAGATTTTGGCATCAAGAAAATACTCCCCATCTTTAAAAAAAAATTTTTTTTAAAGTGTTTCTAAGATGTACTGTTGGTGAATTTGAGTTCTTATTGGTTTTAATCCATTGATTTAATCTCTGATGCTTAATTTTATGCTGCATTTGTGTTTTTGTGCTTTAATTTATTATTTGTATTGTAAGCTACCCATTAGTTCTGGTTGTAGGGCAGCATAAATGCCATAAATAAATGGCGTTTGCTTCCATATATGCTAATAGGGGAGAGAGTGAGAGTTCTTGTTTCAAAAGTTGCATTTCTGCAAATGCAAGTACTAAAGAGGGCTTGACATTCTGCATTGCTTCCCCCGCCCCCTGAGCTCCCTATCCCTTTGCAGTTTTATTGGGAATTGTGCCAGTAAGTTCAATGGGGCTGCTCTTAAGTCAATGCACAGGACTGCATTGCAAGTGCTTTCAGATCTTGCAGCCCATGCCTCCATGCACTCTTACTGTCTGTTGCCAGTCAGTGTAGGCCAGGGATTGGAGTCTGTGAGCTTCATTCAGGTGGTCTGAGACATGTCTGTGAAGAACGGTGGGTGCGGCGGCTGCTAGTCATTCTTAGAACCTGGAGGTCCTCCGGGAAGGTGAAAAGAATGGATCAGAAGTGATATGGGGAAGAGGCATTTGAAAGGAAGCAGTGAGAAAGATATCCAATAAATGGGAACAAAGGTGAGAAGAACAAACCTGAAGTCATAGGAGTAGGAGGATAGCAAAAAACCCTTTTCTAATAGGTCTGTACTGTACATGGTAGTTACACCCAGCTGCTGCTTATCTGTTGTAGGGTAAATTCATTAATAAGCTGCTGTCATCTTTTATCTAAAAAAGTTAATGGGAGGCTAGGATCAAGAGGTTCAGTTTTAATATATTTGTTTTTAATGGTGGCAATCTGTTGACGCCAAGAAATAAGGAATTTCCCCACCCTTCAGCACAACATGAGAAATAAAAATACAGTTAAAACCACACAGCATTTAGCATAGTACATTACAAATGCTACAACAGGCACACAAACCATTAAGTGTTCTGCCAAGACCCTCTGCAATTTTCAACTGGCGTGGACGGTACTGAACTAGATAGGGCAGTAAAAGGCAGCTGGTTATGCACTGAAGTCAATAGGGACTACTATGAAGCAAAGGGTATACAGCAACTTCAGTCCTATACCTGGAAAGATTTTACAATAGTCAAAAATGCACCCATCAGCCTCAACTGTGAATAACATAAGACTGATACTTGCAAGCAAAACAAATCTTTAAAAAGGAACATTTACTATCCTCCAACACTACTAATTATTATTCCCAAGAAACACAACCACCCAAATTTGTACTCTTTTTTTTGTTATTTTTATTCAGTTGTATCCCCCCCCATCAATTGGAGCTTATTTCTTTTCTTACGTTTTTGATTGTATAAATATATAGTATATAAACATGTTTTAAAAATACAGGAAGAGGATCCTCACTGCAGATTAATTTCCCTCAATAACATGGCCCATAGGTTTCACTGTTAGGGTATAATTAATTACTTAATGTAAGGCTGCATTGATCAAGAAACAAAACTCTGGGAAGATACAGGAATGGATAAGAGCAGAAACAAAAAGAAATAAAAACAGTAGAGAGGTTAAAGTGGAACAAACCCACTTCTTACCTACTGAGAAGCTGCTTTTCTACTTCTTTGATTAAGCCATTACCCAGAAACTCCTGGCTACACTCCTTTCCCCACCTAGTTGGGAGTACTGTATGTCTCAGGAATCAATGGGACATACTTCTAAACAGACACATATAGCATTACACTGTTAGTAGACTGGATGTTGGTCCCTTCTGGTATTCTTCAGAAGAGTAAATTACATTCTGCAGAGCCTCTGTTTCCCATTCTGTGAAATGGTGGTAGTGCTACTTCCTTCCCACCTGGGGCTGATTAATGCAAATTGGCCACAAACATGAGATTCCTTAGCTAATTACGCTTCCTCCCCCAGTGCTTGCTAATTGCTTTGCATTCCCTAAAGAAGTGGAGTGTATACTTAAGAGCATTGCCAAGAATGCCCAAGTTCTTCTGCACCCACTTTCCTTGCCTCAGTGTGATAATTACCATGCTTCAAAACTACCATAGGTGACAGTCCTAAACTTGCTTACCTGAGAGTAAGGCCCACTGAGTTCAATGGGACTTACCTCTGAGTAGACATTATCAGGCTTGCAGTCATTTATTTGTTCACTCAGCTCCTAAAATACATTTGCATACCCTCCAACATTACTTCAGTTAAACCACAGAGCCTAGGGCTTGCCGATCAGAAGGTTGGTGGTCCAGGATAGCATATCTGGTCAGCAGGCTAGTTTAGGGGCCCCAGGACAGGCCACTGCCCACTTTTTGCCTAATGGTAGGGCTGGTCTAGAGGGGGGCAGGGTGAGACAGCAAGCAGAGAACTCTTGTCAGTCAGGAGCAGGCTGAAGTTATCCTTGGATCTCCTGGTAGATATCTGGGTGAGTTACGGCAGGTTGGCATGGATTTCTGCCTTCCAAGTTATAACAATAGCTTCCAAGTTATAACAATAGTTATAACAATAGAAGTTTATTTTAAAGCAATCTCTGCCATGATGACGTCTGTCTTTGGGCTAATTGCTTATTATTCTCCGAGTTCCTCTCCCTTTGAGATGCGCTGCTTTCCTCATATTGTTCGTTTTCAGTTATTTGTTTAGTATCCTTACCAGCAAGGCTTAAGCCAACATAAAAAGATTGTTGACTTTAAAGACATTTTAGACAGTGTATCTATACTGCAGGCTCCTTTCTGTGTATGTTAAACATTTGCTGTCATTATGAAACCTCAGCAGCCATAACTTTCAAGTGAGCCCTAATGAATCAGGAGTCCAAAGGTCGCTGGCATCAGGTTTTGAGCTTTATATTTTCAGAAAGGCCACAACAGCCAGGGAGAGGCATCATTAGAAGGGCTATTTACTTTTCATAAACCTGTTTATGACTTTGGCATACAAGTGGGAGTTCACATGATAGGGTGCTGATGACATGATGAAGAAAAAGGATTTTGTGCTTACAGAAAAAGAATATTGCTGGAAGAAGGCTTAGGCTAGCATCCTTCTATCAGACATTTAGTTTTAGGACTTCTTTGGATGGAGAACCATTCAATCGTGTGAGCTCCGACCTGCAGTCTCAAGTAGACATGAGATAATCCAGGCATGACATCTCATCTGCTGCTTAGGAGATGGAGACTGCCCACACCATACGTTTAAAGAACCCCCCAATGAATTCTGGGAATGGTGAGTTACCCCTCACAGAGCTACAATTCCCAGCACCCTTAGCAAACTACAGTTTCCAGGATACTTTGGTTGGGCCGGGGATGTGCTTTAAAGGTAAAGTTTGTATGCAGCAGAAGTCAGGTCTAGGAGGTTTATGTTATGCTTTAAATGCCATTTTAAACTGATGACTTCCTTTTTAAATGCTCTTTTGATTTTGTTAGCCGCCTTAGCTATTTCACATTAATTAACGGGGTTGCTTATTCTGATGCACTTTCCTAGAGAAATACTCTAAAATGAACTATACACATGTTGTCCTTAGAACAACAATCAGCATTGCTGCAGCAGATAATATTAAGCTGGCAAATGAAGCTGCTTATGGAGGCTGTACGTTTCACACACTGGGAAGTGTTTCTTTGGACATGAGGAACAGAGTATATACCAGAAACAATACTTCCGTAGATGTGGAGAACGAAGGTGGCACATTGGGGAAGGGCTGATGCTCAGAGGTTAAAGCACTTGTCTTGCTTGCAGAAAGTCCCAGGGTAAATCCCTGGCACCTCCACGTAGGGCTGGGACAGACTCCTGCCCAAAAGTCTAGAGAGCAGCTGGCAGTCAGTGTAGATCAGGGGTGAGGAACATCTTTCAGCCTGAGGGCCACATCCCATTCCGGGCAATCTTCCAGGGGCCACAGGCCAGTGGTGGGTGGGGCTCAGGCAAAAGTGGGTGGAGCAACAAATGCATATCATACCTTTCTACAGTAGGCTGATTTATGCACACACACCAGCACTGCAGGGCAGGGGCGTAGCATGGGGTGGGGGACTGTCAGGGTGCTCGCCCTGGGTACATTTGGGGGGGCGCAACTTGCACCACCCACCCAGCCGAGTCAGCCCTATGCCACTGATTCTGATCAGATCTCAGCATCACAACGTGGCTCGAGGAGGGTGGCGTGAGAAGAATGCCAAGCACCCTTTGATCCCAGCCTTGCCTTTGAGGGACTGGGATGGAAGGCTGCATGGCATCCTTTTCACTCCATCCTCCCCAGATCCTAGCCTTGCAAAGCAGGGCCTGTGCCACTTTGCGAGGCTGGCATCATTCCAACCTTGCAAAGTGGTTTGGGGCTGGTGTCACTACGTGGGTGGCAAGGGCTGGTGTGCAGCAGGCTCCATTCATCCTCCGTGCTCTGCGCCATGCCCCCCGGCACACACATGTGCCCCAAGCACCATAAAAATACGCTCCACTGCTGCAGGGATTAGATGATGCTCAGGGTCCCTTCTGACTCTACAATTCTGTTAATTTATACAGAGGCACACAAGCACATGCATGTATGCACACTGGATGACAGTTAAGAGATCAACTCCTCTTACAACATTAAGAGGTTACACCTGAAAATGTTTTCTTTTAGGGCAAGAATTATTTGTGCACAGAGGACGCACACTCCCTGTGTTTCTGGGTGAGTCATTATTCTGGGTGTTCCTTCTGACAGGAAGGTGGCGTGGCCCAAGAAGCTTTCTCCTCCAAGGAGTAGGTAATTCTGCAGTGACTCATCAGAGAGGCAACAGGTAGCCTCCTTCTTGGATAGGTACTTCGGACTCACAGGAGCTTTTTCTGAACAGTACAAGGCTCTGCATGTTTACTCAGGAGTTAGCCCCTCTGTCTGACTCCCAAGAAAGTGAGCATAGGATTGTAACCTAATTCCCTTAATTTTCACAGCACACCTGCAATTCTCCCAGTTTGGGAATGAATGGTCTAGAGCAGCCTTTCTCAACTTTGGGTCACCAGATGTTGTTGAACTACAACTCACATCATCCCTGAGCGCTGGCCATGCTGGCTAGGAATGATGGGAGATGTGGTCCAACTATAGCTGGGAAAGTTGAGAAAGGCCAGTCTAGAGACACCTCAGAACCTACAGCTCTATGTCCTGGGTGAATACAGGGAGCTGCCTTATATTGGGCTAGACCATTGGTCCGCCTACACTGACTGGCAGCAGCTCTCCAGGGTTTCAGTCTGGGCTCTTTCACAGCCCTACTTGGAACTGCAGGGCATTGAACCTGGGACCTTTGGCATGCAGAGCCGACGCTCTACCACTGACCTACGGCCCGTATGAGCACCTGAGGGCTTGTCTCCATTAGTTCAACTCCACTAGTCAATTTTATCTTGGATTCAAGCCAATACACAATTAATCTGCTTGATCAGGACCTTAGACTGAAGCGATCACCGTGCTGGCATCAGCATGGTTACCTGGACTGGGGTCAGGACTGTGTCCTTCTAGGCTGTGCCTGGTTTAAATTTCCTGAGTTTTCTCTTTTTCTTTCTTCTTCTATCCACTTTATTCTTCCTTATGTTTCGTTCTGTTTCTTGATGCTCTGAGTTAATGAGGGAATGCAGAGGAAGGTGATGGATGGAAGGGGAAAGACCCTGTTTGAGAAGCAGGGAAGGGAAGATCTCACAGGGTGGGGGCTGGGAGAAGAAAGGGAAGCTCCCAGGTGAGAGCTGGGAGCATTTGCCAGCTTTTATCTGTGATAAGAGTTAAGATCTACCTCCGATAGGGGACTTTATATTTTCTTCCCCTCTCCCTCTCCCTCTTTTTTGCTTTTGTTTTTAACTTCTATTAAGATTAGTTTGTTATTTATTGTATTGTATGCTGGAAAATGTCCATAAATAAAAAGCAAACAAACAGGGGACACAATGTCCCGCAGCCATTCTTCTCATGACAACCTTAAGGGGAAAGCAGAATGGCTTGACTACTCACAGCACACACCTGCCAACCTGGTGGCACACTGAGCGGAAAGTACTTCTCCCCCTGCTTTGTGCTCACCCCCAGCAAGGTGGAAGAGGAGAAAGCACTGCCCACACCCACCAGTGTGCAACCACAGGCGATGCGCAGTGAGTGTAAGCCTTGGTGCACATGACCTGACCCAGAGATATGAGCCGGGCTTGATATGCCAGGCAATGGCTGGCCACCCACCCTGGCATGGCTGCAGGCTGTGCCAGGCTTCCTCAGCACTGCCACCTCCTCCTCAAACCGTATCCCATTCTGACTGGGTCACAGATTCCAACAATGTACAAAGAGCCCGTTTCAGAGAGTGCGGCCCCACCTCGAGCCTTGCCAGCCTTGGCAACCGTTAGTCACAGCCCTCTGGGGAAGCTCTGCCCATTGCCCCTGTCTGTTTCAATGGGGCTTTTACAGGAGAATTTCCTGGGCGGGTAGTCCCCACTGGCACTTATCCTGCCCCCCCCCGACTCCATTCCTTCATCCAATCTGCCCATTCTGTCTTTCTTTCTTTTTTTAATCTTCAAGATGTTGTTCTTAAGAAAGCTTGTGACAGGAAATCCAGCGGCAGCTTGATAAGACCTCTGTCCCCGTGCAGAGTTTTATCCCCCAGCCAAAAGATTAACACACAGCTGTTTGTGTGTGTGTGTGTGTGTGTGTGTGTGTGAGAGAGAGAGAGAGAGAGAGAGATGGCATAAGCTGCAATCAGGTTATATACACACTCCTTAACTGTTCAAGTATATCAGACGTTCCTACTATTTTATGTAAACCGCTCAAGAGATTGTTATTATTTAATTAAGCAGTATTGATGCTGTGAAATAAGTAAAACTGTAGATCTTGGGTATATGCATATTTAGCCATTTTTAGGTCAAGGGCGAATAGAAGCATGGAGCATTTCTGAGGGCCTGGTAGTGTGTAAGTCCTCCACAGAACGGTTGCAGTGGCTGCCCAGAAGGTACAATATAAGAAAGGAGGAAGAGGCCTTCCTCAGTCTGCCACAACCTCGTGCCCTTCAGCTGTTTTATACTACTCCCATTAGTTCCCAGTCAGTGGTAGTCCCAAACAGCTGGAGAGCACCAGACTGAGGGAGATCGTGCTACATGATGGGCTAGGGGAGAGTCAAGTGGAGGTGATGGACCAAGGATCAAACAAAGGGAGGTTCTGCTTTTACAAAAGTCCCCCACCTACAAGAACATGCTGCAAACTTTCTGGATATAGATTCACACATCATCATCATCATCATCATTATTACTATTACTACTTTATTTTAATTTATGACCTACCCTTCACTCTCTAAGGTCCCGGGACAGGTTACAACAATTAACATACAATGTTAAGAACAGTTCAAAACAGCTCACAGTTGCAAAAATAAGATGGAAACACACATCTCAGGTGCCAAAGTCCAGGGCAATGAGGTGTGTCTCTGGCATTTGCTGAATCCATGTTGTATTCAATGGCAGTCCCACATAGGTGTGCACTGCAATAATCCAGCCTGGAAGTGACTAGAGCATGGGGCACAAATCATTGTTGTCCAAAAGAGGCTCTAGCTGGTGAACCGGCTATAGCTGCAAAAAGGCACTGGTATCCTGAGCCTCCAGTGACCGTGTTGAATCCAGAAGCACCCCAACCAACAGACCAGCCCTTCCAGAGCAATGCAAATCCATCCATAACAGACTGTCTTCCCACCTTCTGGGTGTGAGAACTTGGGACAAAACACACCTCTGCCTTTTCAGGATTCGGCCTCAACTTATTGGCCCACATTCAGCCCATCACAGCCCCCAAGCACCTTTCTAACACCTCAGCTGCCTCTTCTGGTTCAGAAGGAACAGAGAAAGTGAGATTATATTGGCTATCTATCCAACCTTTCTTTTAAAAGATCCAAAAAAAGAATTTCTTTCACCAGCTTTTAAAATTATTTGTTGCTGAGTTTCTCTCATGGCTACCAAATTTCTTTTTGTCGTGGCTCCTGTGCCTTTAACAGCAAACAGAAATTCAGCAGGAAAAGCATGGAGATGCACTAACCGTTCACCAGCTAAATTTTGCTTCTCCCAAAGCTGAAATAGGTATAGAAACCGTGCAGGAAAGAGTTGGCAACCCTAAAATGTCTTCTAGTCCCTGGCCACTCTGTATGCTTTGTGTACATCCCATAGTAATGTGCATGCACCACTTTCAGCTTACTATGCAAGCATGCCCACAAAAATACAGGCACAAGGAGCAAATAAGGACAAATGGAAAAACAACCATAAACCAGCACTTTGATAAGCACATGAACTCTGGATAGAAAATGATTACACCTAAGAGACTCTGATTTCTGACAAGGTGTGTTCAGTTTCCAGTCTCCTGGTTGTCTTTCATGAGTATAGTGTGTGTTTATATCAAAATAAATCCTAGGATGCAATACAACAAAAACCTATTTCTTCAGCTGTATCTCTGTCTGCCTGCCTGATATTTTCTATAAGGAAGAGGCCATAGCATGTCCCTGAAGCAGCTCAAAGTGCTTGAGGGATACGGTGGCATTTCAAGCAGGCATCACAGACGCAAAGAAACATGATGGTATTAGAAGCAGCTGCTTGGACAGCAATCTGGGAAAGGGCCTTCTTAATGTGAGCTGGCACCCGCAGGGAAAATTGGTCAGGTTCCCTCTCCGCATTTGGCTGGGTGCACTCTGCATCCAGTTTTGGGTCATCTGCATATTTGCAGAATCCAAACCAAGGGATATAGATTTCTGGCACAGCGCCCCAGCAGGAAAGGATGTCACACCTGCAGCAAACTTCCTGTCTCTACTGCAAAGCTACCTTGAGTCAGTCAGTCCAGCTACTAGGCTGGGAGCTTTGCCACAGCCTGTGGTAATTGTAGGCTTCGGTCCAAGTCTACTGTTTACAACAAGACTTCACTGCAGAGACTCAAGGATTCTCAAAGGGCATCAGGGAAGGGAAGATTTGGGCATTTTTCGCCTCCAAAAGACACAGACGAAATGCCATCTTCCTCGACCTAGGGTTGGTTTGTTTTTTAATGCCCCTGTCTCTGTTGTCTCACCAAATGCTGCACAGATTATCCCCACTTTTACTTCTCTATTTGGAATGGAACTTATCTTTGGAGGTGGGGCTTCAGGGAAAGGGGCCATAGCTCAGTGGTAGAGCATCTGTTTTGCATGCAGAAGGTCACATGTTCAATCCCCAGCATCTCCAGGTCAGGCTGGGAGAGAATCCTGCAATGAAACCCTGAAGAGCCACTGCCAGTCTGTGAAGACAACACTGAGATGGGTGGCTCAATGGTCTGGCTTCATATAAGGCAGCTTCCTGTGTTCCCCTCTTCTATCCAGGCTGAGTACTGACTACAGTCTTTCAGAAATCTGAATGAAGTACAGAAGAACCACAGTAACATGCATATTTTTTTAAAAAAAATCCATCCCACTATAGGCAAAGCAGATTTTCCAAGCAATGCAAATTCTGCTGGACCAAAGGCCAATGGGATAGAAAAAAAGAGAGCACACGTACCAACAGACGGCGATAGCCCTATTGTACTATTTTCAAGTTTCTGAAAAAATGTCACCCAGTTCCTAGCTGATGTCAAATTTAACCCCAGATTTGCAGCACACATGGATCACATACCCTAGGGCATGCCCTGCCATCCAGTGCAGGGGGAAGGGAAAGGTACTATAGATTATAGTGACTAGAGTTTGGTGGATTAGATAACGTAGATGGAAAAGAGACAATCAATAGGAAAAATTAAATGAAGAATTTCCAGGTGACACAAGGATTTGTTTGGGAATGTGTGGCCACTCTGCTCATCACGTAATTATCACTGCCTCTCTGCTTTCCTGCATTTACTTTTTCTTCTGCTTACAATCCCACCACTCTAGCATGTGCGTGGGACTAGCACATAATGAATCTGATGGCATGGGTGGTAGTCCATTAAAGCTTGTGCCATTAAAAAAAATGCTGGTGTGGAGGGAGAAGCACAGCAGTTCCAAGGAATGGGGGAATGGGCTGCTTTTCTTGATATTTGTGATTCCTTGTGATCTGAGCTCTGTTGTATAGGGAGTTGAGGGGGTGTAGGTCAGGGAAGAGGTCAATGGTAGATCATTGCATGCAGAACCAGAGAATTGTAGAGTTGGAAGGGATCCTGAGGGTCATCTAGTCCAACCTCTGCAATGCAGGAATCCTGCCCACCACCATCCCTGGGTGGCCATCAACCACCAACCTTTTGGTCAGTTGCCAGTGTGACTTGGTAGGATGCATCTTCCTGTGCTCCTATGTATAGGAAGGTAGTGAGCCTTGTGGATGATTCAGTTTCTGCTGAAATGTATGTATATTTTGGGATTTACAGATGAGTCAGCCCCTTCCACTCTCAGCAGTGACTGCGGAGGGGCATAAACACATCTGAACCTCCAGGAAATTTGTTGGTTAACTGAGTAACACTCTCAGCCTAAGGTCTAGCTCAACATGCAAGTTCATCCCATGATGACTGCAACATCAAGTGATGACTGGCATGTGTGAAAGAGTCAGCTGCAATCTATCACCACACATGGTTATTTATATCACAAAATGCTCCAACTCAGCATCTATACTTTTTCAGTGTAGTCAAGTTCATATATTCCACTCCCAGCCATGGTGCATTGGCTCATGTGAGGTACATATGTGCAAAAGCAGCCTATAAATGATTGCCAAGTATGTCCCTGGTTCAGATCTAACTCAAACTCACCAGGTTGTCTTTGGCAAGCCACTACTGGCCTTCCACCTACAAATATGGGGATAAAAATACTGGCCTACCTAACAGGGTTGTTCTAAATATTACTGAGATGGTTTGTGTGAAGAACTTTCAACAGGCAAAAAGCTCTGCTATGCTATCCTTGCTGCTGATGGGGACAGCTTTCCCAACTGTGAAAATTCTACTTTGGGGGAATATTTGCTCTTGCCTGATCTATTTAATGGTCCTTAAAATGTGCCAAGAGGACAGCTTAAATGTGGCCCAAGAGGAGAACCCAGCAGGTAGAACCCACAAATCCCTGGAGAAAGGAAAGCTGTGGGGGTCCAAGTCTTCTTTCTCTTCCATCCCTCCTGCTTGCTCTCCCCACCCCTTCTTTCCATAATACTGCCTAAGTAGGTTTACATCTGCAGCACAGGCTCCTTTCCTCCCCACCACAACACCTTTGTTGTGCTCCTGCAGACAATCACATCTCCCTGGGATGGAGCAGCACCGGATGGTCCCTCCTTCACCACAATATACAGAGAGGCAGAGCTCTGTCTGTCTAGCTGTGCATCTTCAGACATTGCCAGTGGCCCTATATATAAGCCAAGGGAAAGAAGCCCAGCTTCTGTATCAAACCCTGTCTAGGGATCATTTAAAATCAACAACACAATGAGCAGTATGCTTGAGGGAGTGGATCGGAAAGGAAAACCTCTGTGCTTATTCTATAGAATAAGTGTTCCAAATCGCACCTCTCTTTATCTCATCTCTCCCCTCTCCCCCCTTATTTACTGCCTATAGCACGGTGCAGGCTTGGCACAAATACACCATCAGTGCCCTCCTGGCATTGAGAGCTGGGCAGCAGATGGGCTGTTGCTGCAGTGCCTGCGCTTGTAGGTTCCCAGCCTTGCTTTGAGGTGTCTCTGTCTCTCTCTCTCTCTCTCTCTCTCTCTTTGTAGGGTGGGAAAGGCAGAGTGGGCTTGTAATCTAGCCTTGGCTTTGCAATGCAGGAGATCCCCATCTCTAGAGACAGACAGAGAGAGATGCTGGGGTTATGGTCTTTCAGAAGGGGCAGCATCTTCTCTCTGGTCATGTCTTAGCCATCCCTGCAGATACAGGTGGGTTGTTTCCCTACAGTGCTAAGGAGGAGAAGGAAACCCAACCCCCCCCCCCCAGTTCTCTCTTTTCCCCATACTACAATCACAAGCAGCAGCAGAGATTGGGGGAGCGAGGGCAGGGTCCCTGCTACCCCTTACCCTCCCAACACATACACACACACACAAATCTGCAACCCCCCCCCCCATTATTTCTAAGGCTCAGAGTGAAGTAAGGCAAGTGAAAGATCAAAAACACTTGGGAGTTTCCTCCTGGATGGATGGTGCAGAGTGTCTGGTCCCCAGAACACTATTAGCTCCCTGACTCAAAGAATGGACTGATTGTGACCTCTTCCCGCACCCCTACAGTCTTAAAATAATTGTGCCTCCAAAGAAGCCCCCGCCCCCACTTTCCTAACCATACACAAAGATCTGACGATTTGGTGGGGGGGGAGGGACGAAGCGAGGAGGCACAAGTGGCAAGGGAGACCCTTGGGGTCAGGAGCGATGTGGGGTGGAATGGGAACACACGTCAAAAGGGAAGATGGGTGGAATGGGGCAGGGAAGGGTGGCAGCGAGATGGGGAGTGGGGGGTTCGGAGTGCAAGTGGGAAGGGGGGCAGCGGGGAAGGAGGGCCGGAGAGGAGAGCGTGACGGCGGGTGGGGGGGCAGTGAGGGGGGGGGACTTCTCCCACTTACCCATCGCCCGTTGTTTTTCAGCAGCGGCGGCGGCAGCGGCGGCGGCGGCTCCTCTGCCTCGCGGGCCCCCGGTGGGGAGATGCTGGACTCCGCAGCAGCCTCTCGCCCCATCCCTGATTCCGGCAGCCGTGGCCGCCCCCCGGCATGGCTCAGCCGGGGCGAAAGCCCTCCACCTCCCTGCTCCTCCTCCTCCTCCTCCTCCTTCCCCCCTCCAGCAGCAGCCTCTGCAGGGGAGGGAGGAGGCGAGCGACCCACACACCGGGGTGCGGAGCGTGGTTTGGGGGAAGAGAGAGAGAGAGAGAGAGAGAGAGAGAGAGAGACGCGAAGGGAGCGCAGGATGAAGAGAGGGGAGGATGATGAAGATGGTGGTGATTATGAAGGCGCAGAGAGAGAGACAGAGGCAGGCGGGGCAGGCGATGGATCCGGGCAGAAATAGGGAATGTGTGCGTGGGGGGGGGGAGGAAATCACCTCCTCGCGCAAGAATAATACTAATAGTTCTAATAATAATGCGGCCGAGGCTCCTCCTCCTCCTCCTCCTCCTCCTCCTCCTCGGAGCCGCCAAAGGAGGGAGCCCGATGAGAGAGATCAGGTTGGGAGGGCTGCTCTCCTTCCCTCCCGCCTCGCCTCGCCTGGCAGGTCTCTATGCTGCTGCTGCTGCTGCTGCTGCTGCAGTCATTCAAAAGCCCTGCGTGCGTGAGAGCGGGGGTCCATCCGTGCCCCTTCCGCCCGCCGCTCTGCCCCCAAAGGTTCCTTCTCAGCCCCCCCCAAACCTCCTTCTGCCCCCGCCAAGCCAGATCGCCGCAGCTCCTTCCCCACCTTCCCGTCCCTCCTCCGGTTTAAAAATATCCCGCCCCCTACCCCGACGCAAAGTAGGAAAGGGAGCGGACGGGGGAGGGAATGAGGAGAGAAAGGACTCGTCGGGAGGAGAGGGATTAAGTCATCCGAGCATCATCGTGACCCCCAGAGGCGCTCTCTCTTTTTTGCATCTAGGTAGGAGTCGAGGGTGGGCTCCCCACCATCTTCAAAGCGAGCTCAACCCGACGCCCCTCACAGTACAAAAACAAAAAACCGGGACGGATATTTGACTGTGGAAATTTACGCCTAGCAATTGGTGGCGGCTTTTGCAGCTTAAAGAGGGGTGTGTGTGTGTGTGTGTGTGTGTGTGTGTGTCTTTTTGTGCACTGGCGCTCCTGTTCTGCCTCTGCAATGGAAGGCAATACAAAGGAACGCCTTGTGTTTGGAAGCCGAGTTGGGAAGGGGTGGGAGCGGCGGGAGGGCGGGGAGGAGACGGCGGGGTGGGCTCGGTGAGTGTCTGAACTGGGCACGACCACTTGTGTTGGGCGAAGGAATGCGCCAAGCTCGGGAACGAAGGGGGCGGGCGGTGGGGAGTAGGCCCTTTCCCAAGGCACCTGAAAGGGCAGGGAAAGCTGCCAGGACGGTGCAGCGGACAGCTGGGAGTGGACCCGGCGGGGCCTGGATTTGAATCTGCTGCGCGTTCAAGGCACCGTCTGTAAAATGGGCACAACGGACACCCTGTTCCAGAGAGGGCCGTGGCAAAAATAGTTCAGACTGACAGACCCATGATGCGCGGGGGGGGGGGGGCGCATTTTAGGAGCCTTCCAGCAAACCCTCCTTGCTACCTATCTATCACCAAAGAACAGGAAATGGAAGGCACATATTTACCTAAAATTTACATAGACTTACTTATATGTATGGATGCAAATTTAAACATTGATGCAGTCATTCAGTACATCTGACCAGTGTGGCTGCTCAGTTTGCTGTCAATGGACCCCCCTTCAAGGTCCCTGCTCTCCCTCCTGATGGATCTTGATCTATAGATTGGCCTTAGACTGGGCGGAGGATTTCAAACACAGGACTATCCTCCAATATCCCTTCAAAAAGAGAGAATTGCTCTCTATGAAGCAGAAGGAAAGGCTACCCTGTTACTGCCTCTAGGCAATAAATGTATAGGTCAGCACAATCATCAGCATTTCTATTCAGAACCAAGCCCCAGAGTTCTGTGCATCTTACTCGCAAGTAATCATGCACAGGTTAGCAGCCGTTGTTCATTTTGTTTTGCTGGTGATACAAATTATTCCCCTCCCTACAAAGTGGAACATTTGTTGTGCCAAGTTAATATTCCCCCAGCATTCAGACTGGGTTATTTTGTCACTGGGAAAATGCAGCAATCCAGCAAATGCAATTATGAATCCTATGTGGCAGTGCGGTTACACAAGTCCCTCTTGGGCAAGGCTTGTGACATGGCAAGGGACGAAGACATGAGGACCTTTCAAGCTGTATTCATCCACTGATTGAGTCACTGATTACTTTTAGCTATGAATTCGTTCATTTATTAAAGGAATTTGTAAGTTGCCTTTCAGGGCCAAGGCCTTTCATTCCATTTTTAAATTGCTTCCCAGGAAACACATTGAAGGAACTTGACAATTTAAACACCAACAATTTTAAAAAACTCAAATCCAATGCAGACTGAGATAAAAAATCTCCACCTATAAGTCCGGGGGCAGGGAGGTGTTCAGGAGGTGCTGGGAAAAAAAAGAACGGGGGTGGCATCTGTCTGATACCATAATCTGACACTACATATTACATTACATATGTAGTTGGAGAGAGTTTGAAAGGGTAGGTACAGCACACGGAGGCCCAGTTCCTACAGAAGTGTCTTCCTGATGAGATTATATATTCAGGAAGCCCTCTCCTGCAGAGCACAGGGATAGTTGGGGATATAAAGGGTACAGCAGTCTTTTAGGTATCCTGGCTCCAGGCAGTGTGGGGCTTCTGAAACCAGTACCAGCACCTTTAACGATTAGCAGTTTCATGGGGAAAACACCATGAGCAGGGTTGTTTTCAAGGGGTCTCCACGGTACCATTCAAACCCAGGAATGCTTATGCAGACCTTTTTTTTTTTAAAAAGGAAAATGCTAGCAAGGCTTCTCACCCCACCTAGCAATTCCTTTACATTTTGTAAACCCTTTTGTTTATTCATTTTGCTTATTTCTTTGGAAATTGCACACTCCTCTTCTCCAGTGTTGGAATAATACACTATTCTCTTGATTCCCCCCACCAAGTAGTGGTTTCGAGTGTGAATTCCCTCTACAGTAAGGCTGTCTCCTTCTGTTAGTTGGGAACAGATATTGTATTATTGGTGTTTAAACAGTGGTGCCATCAGACACAACTTTGGGGCAGAAGTCTGGGGCCCCCGCTTAGCAGAATGAGCAGGCAGGACCACAAATACAGCAGCAGCTCTCTTACTGTAACAATGGGTGCTATTCTGGACTTTGTACATGGTTTACAGTGGTACCTTGGGTTATGAACTTAATTCATTCTGGAAGTCCGTTCTTAACCCGACGCATTCTTAATCCCAGGCACGCATTCCCTACATAGGCCTACATAGGCCCTGGAAGCGGATTGCGTTTGTATCCCGGGGCAGAGTTCACAACCCGGGACACCTACTTCCGGGTTTGTGGAGTTCATAACCTGAAGCGTTCGTAAGCAGGACTGTTCGTAACCCGAGGTACTACTGTATTTCTTTGGATCGTGGCATCAGTGCAGCGGGCATAAGTTTAATATGAAAGATATCCCGCATGAACTATCTCTGACCCTGGTTACAAGCACCTATCTCATACATGACTCAGAGAACAGCTGAGTTCCTGACCCCTAATAGTTGCAGCAAAGATCAGCATTCTAATCCTTTTATTAGCCAGGAAGATCTAGTGATCAGCCTCCCGTGGGCAGGAAGAAGACAAGAAAGATCACTTTTAAGGCAAATTTATGATTCAAGAACTGTAAAGATAAAATGTGGCCTTCCCAAAATTAGGCTCATGTCATCCTCACTTCATACTTATTTTGCAGAAACACAATAGTAAACCAGGGAGAACAAACCACAGTTGAAAGGATTTGGTGTCATATTATTCACTCACTGAGCAAGCCCCTTCCCTTTGCTCATGAAAAGTTAGATTCCAATTATATTTAAACCCAAGGTTTTACAGTGGTTTGTCAACTCACCGTTCCCATGGAACCCCTTCTTGCCACACATCAGCCCTATGTCTCTCTGAGAGATTTCTGTTGCATGGCTGATAGAGGAGTTTAAGGTAAACACTTACATTTTGAAAAAGGCACAGATCTCTTGACTTTGTGTTCCATGAAACTCCAAGATCAGGTATTCCTTTCTTCTTTTTACTGTGAGTCTGTGGCACGTAGCTGCACTCATTCACCGACCTTTGGGGTAGTTCTTTTTGGGATTAAAGTGTGCAGGATTAAGGTGTGTGTTGCCCACATATTTGTATCTTATCCTCTAAAGCAGCACACACTCCCTCCCCCCCCCATATAATAAATCGATCTTTTCTACTTCCTAGTTTGATAAGTTCTTTATTGGGTATAATAAATAACTAGGAACGTAATGATACGCTGGGCAAAAGACTTTGGATATAATATACAACTTAAAGAATGGGAAAGGTTGTGGAATAAAAGGATAAAATTTACAGCCTGTAATGCTTTGAAAGAGAATATGATGAAAATAATGTATAGATGGTATATTACACCAGTGAAATTAGCTAAAATGTGTAAGACAAATAATAAATGTTGGAAATGTAAAGAAAAAGAAGGAACATTTTATCACATGTGGTGGGAATGTAATAAAGTAAAGAACTTTTGGGAAATGATATATAATGAGATGAAAAAGATGTTGAAATATACCGTATCTAAAACAAGGTGCCCGCTCTAAAACAAGGTGCCGTTTAAGGTGCGTTCAGGCGGCTACCTTGGAAGCCTGGAGAGCGAGAGGGGTCGGTGCACACCGACCCCTCTTGCTCTTCAGGTTCCTTTCGACCTGCTCTTTGGGGCTGGCGGGGGGAAGCCCACCACCAGCCCCAAAGAGCAGGTCAGGGAACAGCGGAAAGGCGCAGTGGAGAGGCTGCTGCCATAGTTGCACGTCACTGCCATAGCGCGCTCTCCCAGCTGGAGAGGTGACGCGTGGCTAAAGAGGCTCCTGCCATAGCCGCGCGTCACCTCTCCAGCCGGGAGAGGGTCGCGGGGCTATGGCATCTTCGCTCCATAGGACGCACACACATTTCCCCTTCATTTTTGAAGGGGAAAA